TGTTCAGTCTGCAAAGAGCGACTGAGAAACCGGCTCTAGAGTCAGTCTGTGAGGTTCAACACAGCTCCATTGTTTAGCTGGAGACAAGTTACTCACGCTCTCTGAGCTTTGCTGTTCTTATCTCTAAAATGGGAGTGGTAGCAGTACTCAGCTTGTAGTCTTTTCTTTTTAACTCATAGTCTTGTAAGAATTCAGTAAGATAATGCTTTTACCGGCTCATCCTTCAAAGGTGGGTAAAAGCTAGGGGCAGTGGTACGGGCCTAGAATCCCATGTATTTGGGACACTGAGGCAAGAGGGTCACATGCAAGATCAGCCCAGGCAAGTCAGCAAGACTTTGTCTCAAAATAAGGAATAAAAAAGACTGCAGATGCAGCTCAATGGTGAGGAACTTGCTAGGCAAATATCAAAGGAAAAATTTTAAAATGACCAAAAAATTAACTCATTTTTAAAAAAATTAACTCTTATAATTTGCCTTTAGTCAGCTCTTTCTGCCCAGAAAGAAAGCATAGGAGCTAGAGCAGCCAGATTGAATTTCAAGTGACTTTTCATAAAGTGCTGAGTCCGTCACAAATTAGTCAAGCAATGTAAGGCACGATCCAGCATTGGTAGTGCCTCAGTTTCCCCATTTGCAAACTAAGAGGCTAGAATTAGATGAGCCTGTCCAGCACTCTGAATGAGAAGACTGTACGGAACTCACTGTGGTTTCTTGCAGGATCCCCGTCTCCACAGCTACCCTGTATCAAGGAGGATCAGAAGGTTATATAGAAAAGAAGGCCCCTCAGGTGAGAATACTACTCTAGGGACACACAAGCCCCGTTTATGGATTTGTCTCTATCACTATGTTTGAACCCTGGGAAGTCACTTGCTTCCCCGAGTTTCAGTTTGTCCTATAAAATGGCTCTTCGGATGGTACCCAGTTTGTAAGGCCCACACGAGCATCGTGTGCCTGGTACTTAGCCCATTGAGGGAGAGCCCAGTTACGGAGTGCTATTTCAATAATCATTGTTGAGGCCAGAGTTCAGACCCCATTGCTGGATGCTGTGCTCTTGTGAGAGATAAGAGAAATTGTGAACTGCGTCCATCCTAAGCATACTTCTGATGGGCATAGAGCTGTGAGGACAGTGGCTGTTGCAGGAACACTGCTGGAACAGTGTAGGCCAGCCTGTGCATACTGATGGTCAAGATTCTCATGATTCCTCATCTCCTCCTCTGTCCTTCTCCACCCTGCAGAGCTGTGAAGGACTAGACCTTCAGTGTGTGTGTAACACTGTGTGTGTAATGCTGAAGAGTCTTGGCTTCCCACCTTCCAGGTGGGGTGTCCGCACTGGTCCTCTGACTCTACATCTGGAGAATGGAGATAATAACAGTCCCTGCTCCCTAGGGTTGTTGGAAAAGTTAACCAATCATGCGTGTGACATATAGCAAGCCCTCTATAAATAGTGTTACCATTGCTCATGTGTCTACTCCGCCTCTTCCTGTGTTCCATGACCACACCACATGGAAACACCCAACACACTAGTTTCTGGGTGTCCTTCCCCCTGGGAAGCCGGAGTAACAGCTGGACTGGGGAGCCAGTTGGAGCCCTGACTGCCGGCTGTGACTTTCCACTTGGTCACATTCTCTCTCTAACCTTCAGCTTCTACTCTATGACTGCATTACCCAACGAAAGCATAATGTGGTTACATTTATCATTTTAAATATACAGTAGTCGCTTTTTAAAAAGTCTTTGAAATCTGGGTGGGCCTCAATCCAGGTTGATTCTGGCAATTACCTAGGGATGTGTTGAGCTATCAAAACCACAGTGTATCAGGAGGAAATGTATGTGTGCTCCTGGCAATTTCAGGGCAGAGGCCAAGGAAGCTGCTGAGCATCCTGCAGTGCCCAGACACACATACCCTCGCATCACACGCTTCTCTGGTACAAAACACTGACAGACCCTGTTTGTACTCTACATATCAAGGGTTCCTCATGACATGTGGCTAATCTTTTGGTCCCTGCTCTTCTTAACATAAGATATTTGGACATGAACTTAGAAAAAATCACTTTTTTTTTCTGTCGTTTTCGTTTTTATCGGTACCAGGGATCGAACTCACGACTGCCTGCTTGCAAGGCAGGCCCTTATGCCGCCGAGATAAATCCCCAGCCCCTGAAAAATCACTTTTTTAAAAACTTGGACTTAGGTAAATTTGTTGTCCTGCCCATCCCCAAATAACTGCTCAAAAAATCCAGTTGGTTGGTTCATCAGCCCCTTATGGGCTAAGGATAGGGCCCATCTGTCCCTGGCTGGGCAGACCCTTCCAAAGCCACCAGCCCTCCCCAGGGAGACTCAGCCTGGGACAGACAGTGAACCCTGTTGTTCTTTTCTGGGGAGACAATGCTGTAAGCCCTGCTACCTGCCTGACAGGGCCATTGTGGCTGGAGGAGAAAAGGGCTTTGTCAGGACAGCAGCCGAGGAGACTGGGGTTCAATAGGGCCCTTTATATGTGGCCTGGTGAGAGGCCCCATGGAAGCGGGGGAGGGCCCAGCCCCCTCCTGGAGCTGATGAGGAGCTGGGAGCCCAGAGAAGATCCAGCCCTAGCCACCTCCTACCACCGCCTTGACCCCTCATTCACCTGAGTCTGGACAGCCCTGTCGCAAAGCTCAGTACTGCAAGATGACTGCTGGCCAGGACCCGGAAGCACAGCAGCCCCTCAAATCACAGACACAAATAAAAATAAATGTATTAGAGGACACTTGTGTGCACCTGTCTTTCAGGAACTGGACGCAGCTCTGGGAAGCCCAACCCAAAGCATCTTGCTGTCTTGTGATTTACAAAAGCCCAGACACTAAGCGCAGCCACTAGATTCTGTGTGTTTTCAACATAGCACATCCTTCCCGTCGCCTCTGCCTTTGTCAATAATACCTCCACAAATCTGAGAAAAAACCCAAATCGAGTCCCAGGGAAACACTCTAAGCCTCTTGTCCTGTGTTCTTGGAATAAAAGCGATCAAGTTCGATCGAATGCAGTGCTGGTTTGAGGTCTGCACCATAGCCGGTATCAGAGCAGGCAATGTTTTATAACACAAGGAAGATCTGTGCTGCTGAGATGCTTAGGTCAGAGCAAGGTCAATGCTCTTGTCACACTGCCCCTTTCAGGTAGCACAGACGTATGTATTTTTGTGTAACTGTGGATCAATTCCTAGTAGGGCCAATCCAGTTTCTTGCTGCCTTCCGCCCAAATTCAGAATGGTCTTGAAGGTATCTGCTTCCAAAAATGAATGGCAGGCCTGAGGATGAAGACCCCTGGTTTAGACACATTCTGTTTGAGATGTCCACAACTTTCTCCTCTGAGCTCTGCCCTATCCCTGGCACCCACGCCATGCCAATTCTCACACACAGAAAGGGACGGAAGGCACTGTGTTATCTGACAGATAAGGAAACTAGGAAAATACAGATTTCTCTACAGTGATCCAGAAAAGGAGAATAAGTCATGTTCTGGGAGAAGCCAGCTTTTGTGGCCCAGTTGGGAGACCACCAGCAGGTGGTGGAGGGCAGTGACTTGGGGCACAGGGTCGGGAACCTGGGCAGCTCTGTACCCAGCTCACGCTCTCATGCAGGGATGGCAAATGCAGTCCTCATAAGAGGCTTGAGTTACACAGTGCCTATAGAGGAGACCCCATAGATGACCCCTTCTAAAAGCTACCTCCTCCAGGACATCGGTGATCAACACTGCCCAACCAACGCCTGCTTTCTTAGTCCCCACACATCCTTGAGGCCCAGGAGCAAGCATTTACTTCAGTCTAAAACACCGGGTGGCTTAGTGTGGCTGCTGACGGCGTGAGTTAATCCCAGCATTTCCACTGCCCAGTTGGAGGCCAAGACTAGTGACTTGATCATCCCCTGCCTCAGTTTCCTTTCTGTGAATAATAAACGTTTGTATCTCATGGAGTCATGAAGATTACATGGACCGGAGTTTTTTTTAGCACTTACAACTCTCTCTGGCAAGGGCTACATGCAACTTCTGAGGGCTCCATCTGTGTTCTTCTAACTTGTTTGTCTTGTTATCTAAAGGAGCAAATACACTTCATCACAAGTATGTGTTAATGTACACACAATTTGTATAGAACTAATTTATACATTGAGAAACACATTTCAAATTGTAATTTGAAAAATAAAAAAGTTGATACATGAATAGTTGATTTTATTTTGTTTCTCCCATTAATGTACAAAGCTCTTGGGGGGAAAAAGAAGTTGGGCATTTTTTTTTTTTTAGACAGATCTTGTTATGTTGGTTAAGGTGGCCTTGAATTCACCGTGCTTCCCTGAAAATAAAAGTTACTGAGAAAATAACCAGCCTTGAACACCAGAGATCAAACGCACCAGCCCGAGGCCTATGCTTGCCTTTCCTGCCTTCACTGTTTTCTTTCGGGGTGTCTACTATGCGAGGCAGGTGAGGCAGGCCTGCGCTGATTGGGGCTGGCCTGTTTGATCTCTAGTGTTCAAGGCTGATTATTTTCCTTCTAGGTCTTCTTTTCGGGGAAGCAGGTCATCTAGCCCAGGCTGGCCTTGAACTTCGCAGCAATCCTCCCGTCTGTTTTCCTTAGGAGTACAGGTGTGTGCCAGCGACCCAGTAGTCTGGCTCCTTTTGGTCTCTAATCGCTGCGTTTCTTCTTTTCTTTCAATTTACTCACCTCCTGTCACCCATTCACCCTGCACGAATGTAGACCGAGCACTTACTACGCTGCTGTTACCTTCTTAGTGCCCAGCACAGATTAGACTTCTGCTTGAGTCAATGAATCAGGCAGAGGAAGAAGAGCAGGAGGAGGGCGGGAAGGAATCAGGTTCTGCGACTCCTTCGCGCCCCTCCAGCCCTCACGTTGCCACTGCCACCTGGGCGGGCAGGCTGCTCCTTTCTCGCTGTCCAGGAGGAGCCCATTCATCCAGAGGCAATGGACCGGCCCGGGCATCCGGGAGGGCAGGCCGGGCACCGCCCCCTCGCCTCGCCCCTGGCACGGGCGGTGACTCTGCGGCTGGGGGCGCAGAGGCGTCCGCACCCCAAGAGGGCATGCGCCCCTCTTTGGACCAGAGCGCTGGATCCCCGGCGCCCAGAGGTGCCCCAGTCGCCGACTGACTCCTCCCCCGGGACTCGGTCCTCCTGCGCGTCATCCTTCCCACCCCTGGTCGGACCCGGCGCCCGTGCCACGCTGGGACAAGTCGGGGGCGCCGCCGGGAGCCGGAGCCCGGGCGCGCGGCCGCGATTGTGCAGCGCCCGGGGCCCATGGAGCTGCGCGCCGGCAACGCCAGCTGCGAGAACGGTGCGTGCGTGTGGCTGGGACCGGGGGCTCCAGCTTCGCGCCTTCGTCCCTGCCTTCCTTCTCATCCTGCGGGCGGGCCGGGAGTGGAGGGGATGGCTCAGTCCTCAGACCCGTCCTGGAGCTCAGCCCTGGCTCAGCAGCTGAGTGCAGACAGGGAGGGAAGGGAACTTGGGGGGGGGAAGTTGGCATCACTGACCAGAAGGGGCGGCCCGGGAAGTGTAGGGCTCCGGGTTACTGTGCATATTGCTGACTTTAGTACCTGCCTAGATGTGGCCGTGTCTGTCACCCAAGACAGAGGGGAGAGGGGCACAGAGATTCCCCACGCCCAAACCCACACACATTTGACAAGGCGAGAGAGCCTCAGGCGGGTTAGGGAAACACCGGCTGCTTGATGAGTTCCTACCTCAGAGCACAGAGCGGACTAATTCTCACCCTGCAGTGTCTCTTGTAAGTCTGGAAGCTGCTCTAAAAAGTGGATAAAGGTATGATTGTACTGACTCCATTCTACGGATAAGGAAACTGAGGCCCCGAGAGGTAGGCAGTTCTGCGGGAACAGGGACTATAAGACAGGGCTTCTGGGTCCAGGACTACCTGTACTATCGCGCTCAGCTCATTCTTGGTGTCTCTCCTTCCCATCTGCCTTGGAAAGACAGCCTGTGGGCTATCGCCCTGTCTCTCACAGCCCCTTCTCCGTGATGCACCAGAGCTGGCTGCTCGGGTGCTCTGTAACATTGGGTTTCCTGAGCAGTCTTCAACCTGCCACTCATCCCTGAGCACACTGTGGGAAGAAGACAGGAGTCTTCTGCCGGGACACCCATATCTCAGAGGCGCCCTCCGCAGCAGGCAGCAGCCTCCTTTCCTCCCACTGTGATGACAGAGCTTGGCTCAGTGGAGCGCTCTGGGTTCCAGGCTGTCCAGGCCTCCCGGTGACAGTCATGTTTGACAGTGAGGCCTTTGGCTCCACCTATGAGCCAGACACCTTCAGGGACAAGGTTGGCCTTGCCTGGCCCGGCTTTCGCCAGGCTCTGGGTTCGTTTCCTGGGCTCTGGGGACTCCTCATATTCAGCTCTTAGGCCAGGGAGCCTGGGCTGGATGAACAGGAGTGAGCAATGCAGAACCAGTCTGATTAGGGGGGCCGATGATGGCCTCTTGTTTCAGCTTCCGTGGATTGTGACACAGGTGTTGGAAAGATGGGCCTTACATGGATGTTCCTGTTGGTTTCTAGGTCAGTGTCCACCACTAAGTGTTTGTGGGACTCGAGCAAGTCCTTCCTCTTCTAAGGACCTCAGTTTCTCCAGCTGAAAACAGGAGGGTTGGACTCCACTGATGCTGTATTTTTTTAAGGGCTCTTCCAGCTGTTTTTCTGTGGTTGTATGCTATGGAAGAAAGGCCAGCTTTGCACTTATTCTGTTCTACCAAGACATTGCTCTGTGCTACACACGTGCCAAACCCAGAGCTGCCTGATCCTGGACCTCAAGGCCCTTCTAGGCCTGGGGGCTGAGAGGTGCTGGTCCAGGCTTACATCCTTGGCATTGGAGCCTGGGCCTCTGCGATACACAGCTTTAAAGTGCCTTCTGCCTCCTGCAGTCACAGATTTACATACCTACCAAGGACAAACCCGTGACACAAATGAAGAGGAATTGCAGAAACATGTGCTGTCTAAGGAGCAGCCACTTCCCAGCGGCAGCCTCACGGGCTGGCTGACCTGGGAAGCAGGCAGACCTTTGCTTTGTAGGTGTGGCCTCACGTGTGAATTTTTTCATGAAAATGTTCACAGTTTTTAAATGTTGGTAACAGACTCATACTCTAAAATGCTCTTAAGAGACCAAATGATGCCTCCTCCTTCCTAGCTGCCTGCTTTGGTTATGGGTATGAGCTTTGGCATCTAGAGGCTCAAGGTCTAATTCTGGCTTCCCCACCTCCTGACCATCTAGCTTTAGGAAGGTTGCTGAATTCAGTTTCCTCCACTAAAGATATGGAAAGGATCATCGAGCCTGTTTTCTAGAGTGGTTCTTAGGAATCCTCATGGCAAAGTCTAGAACCATGTATGTGGCAGCACTGCAGGATGGTTGGTTATTACTTGTGCTCAGTTTTTTGCTGAGAGTCTGCCTATGGTGCCTGGGCTCATCCTTACTGTTCCTGGTGTTTATGCCAGAAAGGGAGGCAAGACTGGGTTTGTTCTGGGCCATGAGGGCAGATCAGGACTTAGAATGCAAACTACAGACAAAGTCTCTATGGGCAGTGGGTAACCAGCCTTTTTTGTAACCCAAACGAGTTTCCAGTCCCTGACCATAAGCTCCAAAAGGCTCAGAAGAAAGACCTGCACATAGTCAGTTCTCACAACCAAGAGGCTCACTCTTCATTTTGAGGCTTTCATGGGGCTTGTGGATTCCTACCTGACTTTACCTTCTAAGCTGCCTCTGACCAGCTTCCCTTGCAGCTAGGGCTGGGGGAGATGAAAGTGAAGAGGCCCCCGGTGGGACCATGAGCTACCACAGGCCCATATTTCCCTAGGCTGAGAAGGAATTCCTGTAGAAGACAGGGGGATGGGCTTAATCATTCTGGACAGCTTGGGGACACTGCCTGGTGTGTACAGCATCAGAGCTATATGTTGGAGCCCTAGAGTAATCTGTGCTCCCTTTGAGTAGATACCTGACCTCTCATGGCCTCCATTCCCACAGCTATGAATTGGGGATTAGAACCATCACTTATTTGATAAGTGCTTATAAAATGGAATGTTTATGCAAACAATGTCCTTAGCCAGAGCAATCCCAGAGTGAATGTTAACGTTATGTTTGAGTTGGGGCCCAGTGTGTGTGTGTGTGTGTGTGTGTGTGGAGCCCTGCAGTCATGGGAGCATGGAGGAACCAATGCCCAGACCCCAGTGTGACTCTCATGTGGTTTCCCATACAGGTTCCCTCATCAGCCTCTACTGCTCTTCCCAAGAAGTCCTGTGTCAGATTGTCAGTGGCCTTAGCCCTGAGGTACCCCAAAATGCCACCTTGGACAGCTGGAAGGAAAGAATCCGGAAGAACTACGGTTTCTACATCGGCCTGGGCCTGGCCTTCCTGTCCTGCTTCCTCATCGGCAGCAGCGTCATCCTCAAGAAGAAGGGCCTCATTAGACTCGTGGCCAGTGGGGCCACTCGGGCCGGTAGGCTCCTTGGGGGACGGGAGGACAGTGTACAGGTCAGCAGAGCATGAACCAACCCCCCTCAGAGGGGCTCAGGCTGCAGTCTAGTGTGTTCCTCAGGTGGGCACAAGAGGAACTTACAGAAGACATGTACAGGCTGACTGTCACCCTGCTGAGAATCCCACCTGCCAGGGGGAGACCCTCTCTCTAATCCAGATTTCCTGAGAACTTTGTGGTACATACATTGGGGTACAGACAGGGAAAAGGCTTCCTGTTGAACATCATGCTCCCCCAGGTGTGAGTAACAGATCTGTCTGGGGGAGTTTTGCCCTCCTAGTCGGGCGGGGATCTAATTCAGTGATCTGACAGCAAGGTCCAGGGCAGCTTTAGGTAGAAGGAGCAGGGTGTGCAGAGGCTCATGGGGAAGAGCATGGGAGTGATTTTTAGAAACTGGAAGCTGGTCGGCTTGTCTGGAATACAGAGGGGCAGGAGAGGAGCTGCAGGCTGGCCAGCCCCTGAATGGCCTTATCAGCGGAGCTGTGAGTTTCCGTGCAGGAGTCAAGCAAGCCAGTGACTTTAGGCAGGGAAATGACATGGTCTGACTTGGGATTTGAAAGATCCCTGGCTCCTGGACAAAGAATGGAGGAGGGCACAGTACCGAAGAGTGGGGAACGGAGTATGTGACCCAGAGGATAGGAAATGGCACTGAGGAAAGTGGTGATTCCCGAGACGGTTTTGAGAGGTAGAACTGACTGGTTCTGATGGGGACGGGCTGCAAGGGAAGGGTTAAAGGAGTCAAGGATGACTCAGACTTCTGACTTGAGCAACCGGGACATAATGATGCTGCTTTCTGAGATGAAGAATGCAGAGAGGAACAGGTTTTGGGAAGAGGATGCATGCAAGATTGGACATGTTCATTGAATGTTTCTGTGGGAAATCACAGCATAGAAACAGCATGAAGGCTTCAGCTCTGGCATCTCAATTCCTGGTGGTAGAATCCTGGCAAGAAAATTTTTTTCCGATGCCTCAATTTGCTTATCTATAAAATGGGCATAAGAATTATATGAGCCTTACACTTACAGAAGACATGTACAGGTTGAGTGTCTAAAATGCTCAGGACAAGAAGCACTTAAGATTTTGGACTTTTTTCAGATTTTGGAATTAGATCTATAGGTGGCTAGATAGCTAGACAGAGACAGAGATTTTATGGGATAGGGCCTGAGTCAAAACAAGAAATTCATTCTGCTTTCTCTACACTTATGTGTATAGCCTGGAGATACTTTACTATCATGTTTAATGATCTTGGTCATGAAATGACATTTCCAGGAGTGGAATTTTCCACATGTGGTGTCAGGGCAGCACTCAGATTTTGAGGTTGTGGAGCATTTTGGATTCTAGACCTGAACATGTCTAGAGAGATGCCTGGCACAGGGCAAGCACTGGCAGTGGTAGAATGTTGCTCATGTAAGTAGGAGAGGCTGGCAGAGCCCATGCATACGGGGCCCTGACAGCCCGGAGACGCTCTGGGCTTCATTTCCAAACAAACGCTTGAAGGGCCTGAGCCCTATCAAAGGAGCCAGGAAAGTCTCTGCAGATCCTCAAAGGACAGCAGGCGATCTTCCACTGACTGTTTATAAAGACATCTTGCCAAGAACATATTTATACCTCCAGTCTAATTTCAACTCTAAGAATACAATTGTCTGAGTCCTCTACATTTAGGGGTCATTCTGAGCTTGACAGAAATCTGATTCAAATGAAATGCCTTCTCTCTGGAAAAATGACATTTATAAAATGCAGCAGCTACTTTTTTGATTTTCAAAGAACTATCTCCAGCCCACCCATCGTCATCGTCACTAATATTAGTGACTACTGGGTGTATTCTGGGCCCTCAACAAAACAGACACAATTCTTGACTTTGTGGCACCAGAAAACACGCAGATAGCTGAAATTATAAATGACAACTGCTATGAAAGAGAAGGGCTGAGGTTATGGAAGAGAATCTCTAAAGGAGACAATAAATGAGTCAAACAGAGCATCTTAGGGGGAGCAGATTCAAACCAGACCTGTCGAGTGAGTGGCTTGGGCAAACCTTGGTAGGAAAAATATTCTGGGTATGTGGAAAAGCATGTACAAGAGCCCGGGGGCAGAAATGACAGTCTTGTTTCTGAAGAACTAAAAGAAAGGAGAAGAGTGGCAGGAGGTGTTTGGAGAGGTGAGCAGGACCAAGGCTGTGCATGGACTGGTGAAGGATTCTGGTCTTCGCCCTGAGAGTAATCAGGAACCACTGGCCAGCTGCAAATGAGAAGTGGCAACATATGATCTACATTTTTAAAAGGTCACTGGCTACCACGAAAGGAATGAATTATTAGAGGGCTAAGAGTAGACCAGAATAACCACTTACGAGGCCATTGCCTCGACCTGGGCCAGAGGATGGGGCCCTGAGCAGGGCGGGTCCAGTGGTGTGGACACGTGTGAGATGCCCTTTGGAGTCAGCACTAGCAGGAGGGACCGGATGTAGAAGAAAAGGGAGAGAAAGGGCCAAGAGCAGCTCCCTGGTTTCCGGTTTAAGCAACTATCTACATGGAGATGCCATCCAGGGTTTCCTTTGGCAGGTGGGTGGGGAACATTTAAAATCAAGAGTCCCATTTAGGGCAGAGATCAGATGCCTGAGAAGTTAAAGAAATGGCAAATAAGCAGCTGGATTCACCTCTGGGCTCAGGAGAAAAGTCCAAGCCCCAGATAGGAAACAAGGGCATTATGTACTCAAAGCGCTGAGACTATACTCAAAACATTGGCCGTGGAGGCACCTACCCAGAAGAGGACCGAGAACCAAGCCCCAGGGAATAGTTAGAGGTCCGGGCATCAGGGAGTGAGGAGAGGAGCTGGAGAAAGCGTGGCCGGGTTCTAACTTTCTGTCCCTTCCATCCCACAGTGGAAGGCGGCTACGGCTACCTGAAGGACACCATGTGGTGGGCTGGATTTCTCACCAGTAAGTGGTTCTTTTGCTATGAATAAGAGTGGGCTGTCGATAGCGAGATGAAGGGAGGAATGGATGAGGCATTTCTGTTGCTAATATAGAAATTATGAACCCAAGTCCAGATTCCTAGGGACACCTTGTTCCTTGACACCTTGACACCTTGTTCTCATCTCAGATCGCTTTCCCAGTCCTCATCCATGAAACATCTCTCCCAAAGAGGTTTGTGCAGAGCTGATAGCGACACAGGAGTATTTTCCTAACTTTCTTGGAAACACAGGGCAATCATAGCATTGCCTCTTGGCAGGGTTCTCTGGACTTCTACATGGTAGAAACTGGGACCCGAAGGCAGTTAGGGCCCATGGGTAACTAATCTATTGGCCCACTTTGACAGCATGTCTGCCACTTAAACTTGTCCTAGATTTGCTCACTGATATTTCTCCCACTTTCCACTCACTCTTTCTGGCCATCAGCCCCCTGGTTCTTTTAGGTGGAAACTTTCTACCGATAACTCCTCTAAGTCTGGCTTTGGCCCTTGACCTCGATAGAGCTGTCACAGTGATTGTCTGCCTTCAGAGGGTGACTTTGCTGTTATGTTCCAGCAAAGAGAAGCAAAAGGCCCCTGCAGGCATCTGCAGACTGGAGACTCAACAGGCAGGGTTCATGCTCCTTGAGAATATCAGACTTTTCTACCAATCCACCTGTTGGTTTAGACTGTTTACAGCCCCCCAAGGAAAGAGAGGTTCGTGGACCAGTTGGCCCCCAAAGAATCAATGAATGTAACATTCATCATTTGATAATTAACCTTTTCTAGAACTTACCTTAAAAGTGTGGCTCATAATACTGGCAGTTCTTAAGACATACTTAATTGTGTCTGGACGAGGAACCAAGCCCTGAGAAGAACAAAAAGACTTCTACCCACAAGCATCTTGCATGACTTATCCTTACCATCATTGAAATGGGAGGATTTGGTCAGGATAGGCTGGGGCTGACCTTCTGACTGTCCGGGAGAGAGTGAAGGGTTGGTATTTGAGGGACTATTGGTCTGGGGTTCTGGGGATGGTTGAACACTGAATGAAGCAGCCTCTAGACTCCTCTGGAATGCAGATGGTGCCTGGGAGGCAGAGTAGCCACTTTGCTTCCTTTGTTTTCTAGTGGCTGCTGGAGAAGTTGCCAACTTCGGAGCCTACGCATTCACCCCTGCAACGATCGTCACGCCGCTGGGAGCACTGAGTATCCTCATAAGGTTCTCGTCCCCTCTCTAGCCATCTCTGCCTCTTCCCGCTTTTCAGTTTGTTGAGACCTGGAATTACCAAATGAGGTTAACTGCACCAAGTCAATGCCCCTAGAAAGAGGCATGGCGCTGTTTGGAGCACTAAATCCTTGGATTGTTCGCTATCCTGGCTCCAGCATCCTGCTGCCTACTGGGCCACAGAGGGGCAGGCCAAGCCTAAAGTAACTAAAAGGGCTTGTGCTGCCACCAGGCTGAATGTCTCATGTGAGATTTTGGTGTCTCTGTAGGAGAAGCAGGCAAATTAAGAGCATGAGGCTCAGATCCACATTGGAGTCCTATTCCTCTCTTGAACACTTAGCAGTGGGCAAGCCACTTAACCACTGCAACCCCCAGTTTCCCTGTCTACAAAAGGGAAACTGTAGTCAGGAGCTCATGCCTGACTACAGCTGCTGTTCCAAGGACTGAATGATCCAGCGCACAGAGAGTGTTTAGCACAGAACCAGGATCCAAGGATAACCATGGCTGTCACCAGTGGAGGGCTTAGTAGACACTACATGTTAAAACATGCCTTGTGGATTGGCTCAGTGACTCTCACAGCACCCTCACTGGAGGCCAAGAGAGGGTTACGCAACTTGACTACGGTATGCAGGTCCCAAGTGGCCCCGCCTACGTAGTCTGATACCAGAGCCCGGGTGGTTATCACTGTCCATGTGGGCTTTCAAGTAAGCACTCAACTAAAGATTAATAGTTTTCATTTGATTTGATTTTATGTCTACTTTTTGAGACAGAGTTTTGCTATGCAGTTCAGGCTCGCCTTGAACTCATTTTGTAACCTAGGCTGGTTATAATCCTCCTGCCTCAGCCTCCCAAGGACTGGGAATATAGGCATGCACTATCACGCCTGGCTCTGATTAATAGTTTTTAAAATAACTGACGGTGTAGCCTAGTGGTAGAGGGCTTGCCTAGCATGCACAAAGCCCTGTGTGCCATTCCTAGCACTGAAATCAATGAATTAGCTAAATACAGGTGCTTACATTGTCCTCAGCCCTGCCGCTTAGAACCACCTCCTCTTTGGGTCCTAAAGCCCTCTCTATGGGACAATTTAGCTTTGAGGCTAATCTGGTAAATTCCAGCCAGTCACACCCAGATACCTATAATTTCCTCAGTTTTATTTTGCCATCTTGACAACTTTGCAGCATTTACATGGAAAACAAATAGAACCATGACTCACACTACACAACCAACCTAGAGGATTTCACAGCTGGGGTAGCTGTGTCAGTATCACACTTCTGATAGGTTCACAAGTCCCAGTCCCAGGTAGATGGGAGAGGCCTGGGATCCTCCAGTGTGTGATCCCTGCCTGTGAACATGCCTCCAGACTCTCTTGAATAGGACACTGCAGGTTAAACATTTTTAGTGTTTTGAAGGGAAGACAGGAGATAGACAAGACAGTTTAGACTTTGGGGTCCCTGTCATGATGCCTGGAAACAGGAGTTTTTTGAGGCCCCGTGAGTCCTAGGTCAGCTAACAGATTTTACCCTAAACTAATGCCTCCTTTGTAAAGAAAAAGCAGGATGTTTGACGCCCCAGAGATCATACCCAGCCTGCCTGATTTCCCCTCCCCTTCTCTCACCTTTGCTGGTTCATCTAGAGGAGGTGAGAAGAATGGAACCATGTCACCGAAAAGCATCGAAGTACTAGAAGTATCATGCCAGGAAAATGAGAAGTCCAGGAAGACACAGGTTGTCTTCTGTGAGGGTTAAAGGAAAACACATTGGCTTTATCCTGAAATCAAACTTGAGCCCAAATCTGGGCTCTCATACTTCCTAGTCATATAATCTTGTCACTTTCATTTCTGTGTGAGACTCAGGTTTCTTATCTACAAAATAAGAAGAGTGTATTTTACTTCACCAAGACCCGAGTGATGTTAGTGGGATCACACATGCCAAGCTTTTGACCCAGCACAGAGCAGGGAATATGTGGCCCAGGTGTGGCATGTGTAATTGTCATTGAGATTGTTTACGTTGACACATACGAGTGGAACAGTAGATTTGTTTTGAATGGCCAAGGAGAAGGGAAACAAGGAATAGAAATTGCCAACTGGTGAACTTCTGGCAAATGTTAGAGTGAGCCTATGGTATATGCTCATTTGACTTCTCAAAGGGTGAGCTCCCTGTTATCAAAGAGATCTCCCAGTAGGACTAAAATGGGCAGGAGTTAGATGAGAACAGTTTGAAGAGTTCTCCTGACCCTTCAGTTTGGGGCTGCTTTCAGTATCAAAGATGCCCAGAAATGCCCAGAAAGATGCCCAGAAATGAGTTTCGACTTAAACACTGGGAGTGGGGAGGGGAGAAGCAGAGTTTCCACAGTCAGAGCAGTGAATCCGGGCTTCTGTGCTGTGCGAGTGCCCACCCAGCCCCACGGCTCTCCGAGACGTGGGACAGGCAGAGCTGTCCTAACGGCCTTCTTGCCCTCTCCACGCAGTGCCGCACTCTCCTCCTATTTCCTGGGCGAGAGCTTGAACCTGCTGGGGAAGCTGGGCTGTGCCATCTGTGTGGCCGGCAGCACCGTGATGGTGATACACGCCCCTAAAGAGGAGAAGGTCACTACGGTCACAGAGCTGGCCTCCAAGATGAAGGACACAGGTAGGCTTCAAGCAGCAGGGGGAGGAGGAGACCTCGGGTCCCTGCTGAAGGCCTGACAGGGTTCCGATCTCTCTGGTGCTGTCCCTGGAGGACAAAGCAAGCTAAAGAAAGAAAGCCGGAGGGCTACTACTAAGAAGGGCTGCTTCGTGGGCCTCGCAGCCTGAGCCCAGAAGAACCTCCCTTCCCTCGTGTTTTCCAGGAGCTGTTCTAAATTCTTCATCTTACTGACTCACTCAACAGCCCCACATAAATCCTGTAGTTGACCCTCTTTTGCAAATGAGGTCTCAGATGTTCAGTAACTTACTCAAGTCTTTAAAAGGTGTGAAGCTGGGACCAGGACCCCAGTTTGTCCAAATGTAGCGCTCTTTTTCCTTTTTGTGGGGGTCGGGCTCTAGAAGCTGAGCCTGTCCTTTGCAGCTGGAGTGACCTGTGTCCCTCCCTCCCCGCAGGGTTCATTGTCTTTGCTGTGCTTTTGCTGGTGTCCTGTCTCATCCTCATCTTCATCGTCGCGCCCCGTTACGGACAAAGGAACATCCTCATTTACATCATCATCTGCTCTGTGATCGGGTCCTTCTCTGTGATTGCCGTCAAGGGTTTGGGCATCACCATTAGGAACTTCTTTCAGGGGCTGCCCGTTGTTCGGCATCCCCTGCCCTACATCCTGTCCCTCATCCTGGCGCTTAGCCTCAGCACTCAGGTCAACTTCCTCAACAGGGCGCTGGACATTTTTAATACTTCCCTGGTGTTCCCCATCTACTATGTGTTCTTTACTACCATGGTCGTCACCAACTCCATCGTCCTGTTCAAGGAGTGGTACAGCATGACTGCTGTGGATGTTGTGGGCACCCTGTCTGGCTTCGTCACCATCATGTTGGCTGTGTTCATGCTTCATGCTTTCAAAGACTTGGATATCAGTAGGACCAACTTGCCTCCTATGCACAAAAACCCCACCCCAGCTCTGGCCCCAGAGCCCACCGTCATCAGACTGGAAGACAAGAACATCCTTGTGGATAATATAGAACTTGCCAACACGCCATCACCAGAAAAGAAGTCCAAGGTATCTATAATCCATTCATAAAGAGGGAATACACACGTGAAAGGATCAGCCTGGTGGTGCAACCTCAACTCTCAGTGGTAGAACCACCCAGCTGTTTCTGCACCACCGTTGCCCAATGTGTTTATACCTCATCACTGTTTTGAGGAGAAAAAGAATCCCTACCCCGTAAGTGGGGGTCACAGCACTTCCTGGAAATAGCCTCAGTGACCAGCTTTGCAGAGGAGCCAGCAGGTATCCGGGGCCTCCCTTTCCTCTGCACCACTTTCGTGTTGGGAAGAGGATAGAGTATGACCTGTTGAATGTAGCACAGCCCAAGAATGCCCTGAGATTCTGGTCATCAGGAAATTCTTCAAACCCGTTCTCCTCCTGAGACTGAATCTCCATTCCTTAGCCCAATGATGCAACAGAGCTGACTCCCAAAAATCCAGAGCACCTTACCTAGCCTCCCCGTCTAGAGCTGATGGGTACCAATGCAATGCAAAATATCTTGTTGCTTTTGCCATTTACTCTTGGAGCCTAAAACAAGACCCTAGCTGACTTCCTTACTGTGAAAGCCACCTGATGTCTCAGGGAACCGTTTCACTCGGTCCTTTCTCCAAGCATTTGAGCCCAGCAGTCAGGAGCTTAGTGTCTTTTGCCCCACTGTACTGCCCTCTTGTCCTCTCGGTGCACATCCCAAGGAGCCAGTCACTGAGACAGGCAGCCCACAATCCTAGAACACAAAACAGCAACAACTCCACCTGTAACAAATACCTCACAGTCAGGCTCTGCCGGCCAAACCTGTCTCTCTCTGCCTTCCGCTGGCGAGAGGGCAGCAGCTGTGCTGGTCTTCGGTGTTCTGGCTGTGCAGCTGAAATCTGGCAGGATGCGCTCTCCTCCTATTTAAGAGTCACCCACAACCTGATAGGGGAAGGTGGGGGAAAGTCTGAGGTTTGAAGTTAGGGCTCTGCAAAGATGGTTTCAGACTGGAAATTAGGAGCTATCTTTTGGGTTTCTTCTGCTGGCCAACCAGGCACCCAGGCATGAAAGGCTCTGGGGTAATTTCTGGGCCATAGCCTTAGAGGCTTGGCCGGTGCCATAGCTGTGAATCTCAGGCATTAAGCGGGGTGCAGGCTCGGTGGGGCATGTCTGGTGGCTGTTGATCAGATTTGCCATGGAGCCCTAGTTTCACCGAGGAGCTGCCCACACAGAAGCAGCGTGCCATGCCTGAGCCAGCACCACCTGCTCTGGGAACTCTCTTTGTCCCCTTGCATTTGGCTAGGGGCATCCATAGAAGAAGTACAGTTTGGGAGATATAATTGTTACCCCTTCCCCTTTTCTAGCTGCAAGCGCATGAAGGGAACGAGGAACACTGGAAAGGGAAGCTCAGGAACCAGTTCATCAGAACAAGGAAAGAATAGACCCTCAGCCCTGCACTGATGCAGAGACTCTGGCGGGAGTCCCTTCCTGCGAGCTGTGTTCACATCTTGTGGCCTAAGTGTGGCCAAGCTCTCAATGCACCTGCAGGTCTTAGAGCTCCAGAAGGCTTCGTGGGCCCACACTCTGGCCCCCTGCATCTCCAGCTTCAGATCCTCAGTTTTTAATGAACACCATTTCATTCTGTAACTAATATCAGTGCAACACCACTGATCTCAAGAATGGCCGTAACTGAGAGCCCTGAAAGCATGAGCTACGGGGTTAATGACTCCAACTTCAGACTGTTTGACACAAGCACCTTAAGATTCCATGAACATGGAACAATTAAATTTGTTGCTCTGGAGCTGGGAGATCAGTCCCCAGTCTCTGGAAGCAGGGCTACCAAGAAAAGCCTTCCAGCATCTTCTAGAGCTGTGCTGTCACTTTGAGTGGGACAAGTTGTTTTCTAAGGGTGCACTGAAGACAACTTTTCCCTAGTTGAATCCAGAGTCCTTGCCAGACACCAGCAATAGTAGGTGTTCCATGTGGACTGTCCCTTTGACACCCCTCGAATTCCCAATTCTTTTTTACTTCTAATTTACATGTGCAGAAAGGGATTCAGGTTAATTGGCCAAGGTCACACAGCCAGTAGGAGATGAAATTGATATCTGGTTCCAAGCCCACAGCCTCAGCCACCAGTGTGTCTCTCCAGAGGACTGTATCTGACCCCTCTCCATCATCTGATACTACTGTGTTTTCTCGTAATCTGTGCTATCTCGTCTGAATGTAAACTCCACACAAGCTTGTCTTGATTTACTGCTTACCCTCTGAACCTGGTACACAGTTGGCATTAAAAAAAAATCTGTTGATTTTTAATGAAGGAACAACTCCATTCCAAACAGTTCTTGTCTGAACTCATTAGGGAACCAGTTTTGTTTCATTTTGCAGTACCAGGGTGGGGTTGGGGGATTGAACCCAGACCCTTTCCACTGAGCTATGCTCCCAGCCCATTTTTCATTTATATTTAAACAGGGTCTTACTAAGTTGCCCAGCTCAGGCTCTGTTTTGTTATCCTCTTGGCCTGGCCTCGCAGAGGTCTGGGAATGCAGGTGGATCCCACCACACTCACTTGGGGACCAGCCTTTAACCCAAGGCCCTTCCAATCATAACCCCAGTGTGTTAAACAGAGCAACCAAAAACCTGATGCAGATTCTGAGCTCATAGCCTGTGGTGGGTGCTGCTGGGTGCCTTCAGAGAGCACCTCCTTGATGATCATGGTGTTTTGAGGTAGGCATTGAATTAGTCAGCTTTCTATCACCTTTCCAAATACCTGAGCCCATTACTTATAAAAAGACTTGATTTGGCTCACAATGCTGGAGATTCCAGTTTATGATCAGATGGCCCTGATGCTTCGCACCTGTAGTGAGGTAGTACAGGAGAAAACAAAACAACTCACTGCATTCCCGGGAAGCAAGAAAAAATGAGGTTGGGTCTCATGGTCCCCTTTGGGCACAGCCTCTGTGATCGTCCCATAGACACCACCTATTAATCTACCACATTGCAACAGCACCTCCCTGGGGGATAAGCCTCCAACACATGGAGGGGACATGGAAGGTCCAAATATTATTCCCATTGGTGTATGAAAAGAGACCAAGAATTCTAGAATATCTAGGCTAATGCATCTTATAAGTAGCACAGCTAGAATCTGAGCACAGGTTTGTCCAGCCAAACATTGTGTGTTACTCTCCTAACCAGTGGATGACCATCAGCTCCAAGACTGGCCACCAGAGTGGACAGAGGGCATGTTAAGAGGTGTTTAGGTACAGACTGATTTCATAAGTGGGCACATAAGTGATAAAAGCATTTGTGTTTAGATGGCTGTAGTGTCCTTATGCAAACTTAGAACCATGAGTCTAGAAAAATACAATTAGGCATCCAGAACCCTGTGCCAGGATTTCTGTGAAGATTCAATGTTATCATCCACATCAAGAATAGTAGTATACAGTCTCTCGCATGTGTCATCTTCAGGAAGAGTTGTCTCCTCTCATGGCCATAGGTAGTGTCCATCTCTCTTAGGGGACCTCGAAACGAGGCAGGGATGCATGGAGAATTGGGGTGGATCTGGTATAAGCTTCATTCTCTACCACATAGGTCTCTGGAATTAGCATACGTAGCCTGACTTTGGCTACACCTGCCCAGATAGCCCCAGAGACCTTGGACAAGTCTCTCCCAAGTATCATCTTTAGTAATGAATGACCAGAAGGTTGGAGCTGTCATCTAGATACAGTAGCGGGGGAGAAGGAGAAACAGATGAGAATAATCTCAATTATCATTCAAGCCTCTAATGATATAAGACCCAATTAAACTAGACAGCATCTGTTAGGGCACAAAGACAAACTGCGCCATCTACTGGCCATGAGGAAATGTGGGACTTCACGGGGATTCTGGGTCTTCACATAATGACCTTGAGGCTGACCGGAGGGCCTTGGGAGAACATTTTCTGACATCTCACATCATAGATCGTATCTGGCCCAAACAGTGGGATAGTAAAACAAGCACACAGAGAAGAGCTGTCAAACCAGGTAAAGCTTCAAATGACAAACAATTCATTTTAATTAAATACAAATAAGAAAAAAAAAGGCAGCATGGCCCATTCAAGTATTTTGCATAGATGTACAAATATTTGTAAACAATAGGTGGATAAGAGAGAAGAGGATCCGTAATCCATGAATGATCTCTCAAATAAAAAGAAAATTCACATTGCCCTGAATCCCAGACGCGTACACAAAATAGATGGCTGCACAAGAGGATGCTAAGGGGTGGCTGGGGGAGGGGTGAGTGGGTGGGGCGTGGCTTCGGAGTCTGCAGAACCTCTTCGTAGTAGGCTTCTGTAGAAATGGAACACCTTTCCAGTTGGCATTTCCCTGGCCTGCTTAGGTGTAGGCAGAACTGTTACGTATGCATTGAACACAATGACTGATTTTAGAACTGGTTATAAGTCTTCCACACCTTTGGTCAAGTAAGAACAAATCAGGCCACCCCGAAGAGGAGACTTTCTTAAAAAGGATTATTGCAAGCAGTAAGGGGGCACTGCAATAAGAGGGGGACTATTGTAATGCAGCGAACATTAAGACCACACATTTGGGGAGAGCTCTACTTAACCATAAAAGTCAGCAAAGCTAAAAGGAATCTAGGGCAGGCAAGTAGCTGCAACCCAGGACCAGGGGCCCAGGATAAACCTCCCACACAGGCAGAGACGGGCTCTATCTCCTGAGGTTTACATTTCAGAGATGGCTTCAGGCCCCTAAAACAAACATTCCAGGGTTGTAAAACTGGCAGGAAGAACCATTTAGCTTCTAAAAAGATTTATAGCCTTCACCTTGAGCAAACTACGGGTTAACTGGACAACCCAGACTTCAGCTAAGCCTCCCTCCTCCCCGCTGGACGGTGGATTTGGGCCCATAGGCAGCCTAACCCAAAAACATCTTTTCACAGAGAGCTTCTACCCCCCACCAAAAAAGACCGGGCACACAGTGACACCCTGGATGCAGTTCCTTCTATACAGGTTAATTCCTTCCAATAAAAGAAAGGACCTTTTTGGCCTGGGCTTCAGAATGTGTGCAGATTTGATGAAGGGTCTATGCATTCTTACTGCAGCTGTCCCCTCCTCTCCTTCTGGGAGAGTTCTCATTCCCCTTCTGGCAATAATCCTTTGAAATAAAGTCCCTGTTCCTGTACATCTCAACATCTTCGTGTCTGTATTTGACATCTTACAGCAGCCCATTGGCAGTGAGGCAAAAGGGGATGCAGAATGGGCACTCTTCCTCCCTGGCAGCCTCCCTGGCCTGCAGAAAAACAACTGCCAGCTCCCTGGACAGAGCCAGGTGTAAAATGGTAAACAGAACTGGCTGCCAGAAAGTTGCCATCAAAATCAAAGAATTCTACCATCTTCCAGTCACAGTACAACTTCCGGGGATGGAGGCGGCATTAAAATAACAAGAAAAGAAAAAGCAAGAGAACGTGTTGCAAGCTGCACACTGCCTGTTACAGTTCTGGGGCAGTGGATTTCAGGGTTAAGGGCTCATGCGGTCACTGTGGCCGTGCATTGTCCCTCCAGAGCCACTGCTCCTGATGGGAGGGAGGAAGGCTCTGCAGGCCACGGCGACTTCCAGGAGGTACAGAGCTGGGCATAAGGACAGTTTGCTTGTTTATAGGGAACGGGTGGCAAAGGACACCTCTTCTGGGACCCGGCTTTGAGGCACACTTAAGCACGTTTACTACACGCTTAAAAGAGAGGTTGTCTCCTGGCAGCAAGAAAGGGGATTGGATGGGGTCAAGGAGGTCCGTGCCAGGGAGACAGGACCTCAACGTCACTACCACCCTGAGAGAAGGAAACACGTTTTCCTGAGATCTTTCTAAACCCACCCACCTTTTCCCTCAGACATGTATCCTCCAAGTCCCGTTGGCCTACAAACCTGAGAACCTTAGCTCAGCATGTGGGGAGGCCCTGGGGTTGGGGTTCAAAAGCACAGCCTCCTCCCTGTATTGAGGTTTTCAAGAGCTCCTGTAGGAGGTGGGATGGGCCCTGGAAGACCCTCAAAGGACTGAATGTTAGGCCAGCTCACCTCGGGAGAGCCCAGCACCTCTTTGGGGTGGGGATGGTCCCCAGCTATTTTGTAAAAATGTCCCATCTAGCAGCACACCACAGAGCCTTCCTTCTGGGGGCCAGGCAGGACAGGGTCCTCTGGAGCTCAGTCTTCCACCTGCTAAGAGCTCTTGCTCTTTCTCTGAGGGTCAGGAAAGAGAACTAAAGGACATACATAACAGAAGCCTTGGTGGGAAGGCGGGAATGGGGTCCCCATTTCAAACTGTTCCACTATGGCTGTGGATGGCGGTCATCTCCGGGGGTCTCTGATAGCTCCCTTGGTTATAAACACCTCTCCTCTCTGCTCAAAAGACAATGGTCCCACCTCTGGACAGTAAGCAGGCCATCAGGGACATACAGGCTCCCCGGTGCACACTTTTGAAATAGCTGGGCTTCCAAGAATGTCTGTTCCCTTTACCATGAGGGCTGCCATTCCTGGAGGACCTCACCTAGATGTAGGCCAGGGAGTAAGGAGGTAGACCCACCCCCTGCTAAGGTCGCCGAATACAACAGCTGAAAAGGTAGGACTCCCACAACCGTGCCCTAAGTGCACTCTGATCAGCACGCTTGGGATCCAGTGGAGGAAATTCAATTGCCACTCCATGAGGCAGGACCCTGACTCGTAGGTCACAAGCACCTGGTCCCTAAAAAGTCAGGACTGTTGAGGGTCCACTCACCAAAGCACCATGCATTTCAGTGGGCTTGAGGGGAAGGAGAAAACAGAATCACAGAACACTGGGAAAGACAGCAGAATATAAAAAGCAAACCAAGAATTACCAAGACTCTTGACCTTTGGCATGATGGCTCAGAGGAGGCCCAGGCTTGGGGCTCCCCCTACTGTCTACACTGCCTACAAATAGTACCTGTCTGAGTCAGAGTGACCCATGTATAGGGGCTGTGGGAATCCAAGGGGGCTGTGGGGAAGGGGCTTGGCTTGTCACATGCAGCCATATAGTCAGGGGCAGTTACCTCAGCCAAACCCTGGGCAGGGCCACAGCAACGGCTGGCTGGACCCTTCCTCTTTCCCTAAAAGCTAAAAGGGCAAGGTTAGGGCCCAGCCTCTGTCCAGCAGGGGCCGCTGAAAGAGACAAGCAGCAGAAGCGCCCCTGTGTACCTCCACCATGGGACCTGCACAGAAAGCTCCTCCAAGCTAAGTCCCAGCTGAGGACTGAGGGGCTGAGCACGGCTTTTCCCACTTGGCTGAAAAGCTCTGCCGATCCTGGCCATCTTCGTCAGAAGTCTGGGCTGGGAGGGTGGATACAGAAGCTGCCGCTCAGCCTCACGTGTGTGTCCCTCCCTCCCTGGGCTGTATATTGCACAGACCAACACTTAGAAGCCATCAGGTTACAGTCCCTCTGGAACACGGAGAAGCCCTGACTCAGGAAGAGATTGTGGAGATTTGGTGTTTCCAGAAAAAAGCCAGGAGGAGCTCGGAGGCAGCCAGACACACTTCTTCAGCTCCCATGGTGGTCATGAATCCTCGTGGCACCCAGAGTGGTGGAGGCAAGAGAGAACTCTCTAGATGGGTCTAGATTCTGGAGCTAGTCATCCTCCCAGTCCTCTGTGACCTGTACTCAGGGAACTGGAAAGAGACAGAAAAGAGGGAGAAAGACATCAGCTTGCTGCCAGCCTCTGGGATCAGCGGGAACTGTGCTGTCGCTTTTGACAGCTGCAAAGGGGCTTCCTGTTCCCATGGAGGTCTGCAGATGCGGCAGCTCACCGAGGCCGCGGCTCTGCGGGGAGGTGCGGTGCTCAGCCCCACCTCGCATTTCCTGGAGCCGGTCAGTGAGCAACTCCATCTCATCCCTCTCTGACCCCACGCCCAGGACTGGGAGGCTAGGGACACACCAGCCCCAGAGCAGGGGGAAGGAGAGGGTCGGCGTTGCAAACCTACAGAGCCCAGGCCATGCACGTACATTAACCGCCTTGATCTTCACAGCCACCATAAGCACTAGCTATACTGTATTAGATGCTTTTTACAGATAAGGAAATGGAGATGTAAGACAGGGACCTGCTCAGGTCAACCTGGGGGTGCAGGTGGTGGTGAAAATGCAAGTTTAAAGCCACCACAGCGTGGGTGTCACCTTCCACAAGAACCCTCAACACCAAGGTATCCAACAATGCTAAGCTTTTGCACATGGCTTTTGTGCTGGCAAGAAGCATGAAGTGACGTTTTCCCAGCCACACAAATGCACACCGCTGCCCTGGACTCACCTTGGGAGCAGGTGCTACCAGATGCTGGGCCTGCGGGGCACCTGGCCTGGGGGGAATCCTTCGGCCGGGCACAGGGTTCGCTGGGAGCGCCTTCTGGGGCGGCCGAGGCCTGGAGAAATCCTGTAGGGAAAGCAGTGGGCCTCACTGGAAGGCCAGAGGAGGCCTCTAAAGAAAACATTCCTGGAAGCTTGCTGATTGAAATCACGTGGAAAAAAAAAAGTAGGCACTATATGACCCCCCACTTCACCAGGACTGGTGTGTCTGAGTGTGTAACGTGTTTCCACACTCAGGAAAATAAAAATCCTTCCATGGAGAGCAAATTGATTATGATTAGCAAATGATTATGATTTTGATTAGCAAATCTATTATGATTAAAATGATCCTTCTCTGATTGGAAAATACACTCGTGGCCTGGTTAGAGAACTAGTTACCCAGGTACCCAAAAATGAAACTGCTGCGCTGTTTGTGACAACAAAGAAAGTACAAATCACCAACATTTCATTGATATGTTACTAAAATGATAACGCCGTACATTAGGCAGCATTTAAACAGAATAAATCAGCCTGATGCAGGCTGATGGGAAGAGATGTTTAAGACTCACTGTTGACTGCAAAAAGCTGGAGTTTGAGCTATAGAGGATAGTTTATACAAAACATATCACCATGGCCCCCGTACAGACATCAACAAACAGAACAGTCAGGAAGGATACAGAGGGCACTGATAAATGGGGGTCACACTGGGCCAGGTGCCACTAGCAACCACAATGGTTCACATGAACATTCAATATTATTCACTTTTTTTTTAAAACAACATAACCACATATGTATTACCTAGACAAATAGAAACTAAGTTTAAAAAAAGGAGAGACTGGGTGTTCTCCCTATATGAGCTGCCTATGAGGAGCACAGTTACCAGGGATGCTTCGTGGGTTGTTAATGTTACTTTTAAGCTTCTGACGAGGCTTTCTCTGATTACCTTACTGCCTATCAGTGCGACCCCCACAGGGCACTGGGCTTTCTGACTCTTTTGTCCTGATCCACCTCTTTCTTCCTGGCCCCTTCCTAAGACACTTCGTTTCTTCCCATACCAAGCAGGCTCTGTGCTCCGTCTCTCCTACCCGTGATGGAAGGGAGCAGGGACAGCTGGTCAGGTCTGCAGCACCTGCAGAGGCCACACCTCAGGCTTTCAGGGTAAGATTTGGTATCCAGAAAGTCCTAGACATCTATCAGATGGACCCATGTGCTAGTCACATTTCCTGAAATAACTGTGTATTTCTGCACTAGTCAAATTTTTTGAAATATATGTTTTCTTCTGTGCTTGAAAAAGAATTTTTTTTGAAGAGGCAAAGAACGAACCATTTCCAAGCCGGTGAGGTTTAAGGCTGGGAGTGCAGCTTAGTGGTAGAGGCCTGCCTAGCATGCGCAGGCCCTGGGTTCCATCCCGGGTATTGAGAGGGAGAGAGGGAAAGAGGAAGGGAACCCAATTCTGTGATTGGTTGTTAATGAGCATAAAACAGGGCACACGGCAGGCAAGCTAAGGGCAGGAACAATGCAGAGCAGAGAAACTCCTTGGTGCCAGAAAACGGAGAGCAGGCACAAAAGCTCAGGGAACAGAACAGGAAAGTCAGGTGACCACAGAGCCACGCTCCTCAGCTCCATCCCTTCCCCAAAGGGTAACATGACCCCCTCCCCTCTTAGCTCTGAACACCCAGCTGCCCGAAGGTCTGGACAGAGACCTTCCAGAGAAAGGGAAGACAGGTGGCTGCAGGATGAGCTGCTGGGAGCTCGTTATTGGGACCTTATCAGCTGTCAGCACTGGGCCTCGCGGGCCTGCGACCTCCCATGGGCTACCTCTGAGGTGATCCAGCTCAGCTCTATCAGGAGCTCACAACACTGTTTCCTGGAAGCAAAAACAGCCCTGACTGACTGTGACCCACAGTCCCTTTCTCCAGGGTGGTATCCCTACCCATCCGGTTGCACAAGACAGACCCTGGGGGTCTGCCAAGCCCACTGGCAATGTCTAGTTTTCTTTATGCATTTCTCATCGGCTTCTCTCTGTCACCCCTGCCCACCCTCGGTCTCTAAGCTTCTTCAGGACACTGTCTATGCCTTCAAACCAGTATGCTCATTTGCCATCAGAGTGGTACTTTCATTTTCTAAAACCACACCTTGAACTAAAGCGTAATACACATATAAAAGGTGAACGATATGTAAGTATAGGAGACCAATTATCAACATGTGAATGCTCATACATTATCCCATCCAGGTCACAAGTCTGAAGACTAATAGCCCTAGAAGCATCCAAAGGTGCTTCCCAGCCATGACACCTTCCTCCTGCCTCAAGGGAGCCCAGAGAAGTGATCCTTGTCACTGTCAAATCTCCTCACAGCACTGTGCCCACCTCTGTCCCCTTCTCATGGAATGCAGACCAAGGCTATGTGGTCCGAGCACAGTCAGCCCCCCTTCCCCCTCCAGGGTACTCAACACCACCTTGCTAGCAGGGGTGCAGCTGAGAGACTGAGATGGTGATGCCTGAGGGCAGCAGGGTAAGGCTGGGCTCAAGGGCTGGCTGTCCTGCTCTGTGTCATCTTAGATGAGTCCTTCAACCCTGTGAGACTTAACGACTTGGGTCAGCGGTAGGAGTAGAACAACTCAGCGTTCCCTCTGGGGAAGAAGGTGGCTGGCACTATCTGGGCCATAACCTCCTCTCAGTGCAACAGCCTCTGGTGTCTGTCCTTCGAGGACCCCCCGCCTGCACTCCAGGGCTAAGAACAACTGTGCTTGAGATCTGTGAGTGGCGGCATTTGTCACCAGCTCATTGCCTTCCTGCAGGGAGACAAGGGAGTATGACAGCAGGCAGAACCTGGGTCATCTTCCCACCCTGCTTGACTCCTGCTCTCCTGACATCCCTAACCTAGCACTCAGCACCCTGGGGAACAGAGTGCGGCTGGCCCTCCTATTCCTGGAGCAGGCACCCAGAGGCGGGTTTTCAGGAAAACTGGTCCAAGGCACTCCTCCCTCTTCCACCAGCCCCTCTGCTCTGCCTTCCCTCCTTGTTCTGCATCTGTGCTGCCCCCTTCCTTTCTCTGTTTGGGGCTGCACTGTGCACACCCCTCCCAGGACCTCGGCAAGTGGCCAGACTCAGAGATAAGGCCTTGACAGAGTGACTGAGCTAAAACAAGGCCTTGGGGTGGGCCCGAGTCCAGCCTGGCCTCCTGACAGGAATGCAGTCAGACAGCTGAACGCCACGGACAGACGGCGGGCCATGCGAGGACACAGTGAGAAGGCAGCAGCGTGCAAGCCAAGGACAGAGGCTTCACGAGAAGCCAAGTGTGTCAGTACCTTGATCTCGGACCTCCGGAACTGTGAGGAAAAACTTAAAACTGCCATTTAAGCCATGTTTTGTCACAGCCGCAGAAAACCAATACATTCCCCAATCTCCTCCTCCTACTCCTTCCTCTCTCCCTGCGAGTCGCTGTCCTCCCTTCCTGCGTGGATTTTCCCATCCACCCCTGCCACACACAGGAATGCAAGAGGACCAGTTTCACAGCACAGAACCAGACTTGACATCCTTAGCTCTGTCAAACTGCCCCATGGCCCCACATGCCAGGGCTCTGCAAAGCCTGCAGCCAACCCCACAGTCCTCAGACCTGGAGCAGCCCTAGGGAGCCCTCTGGACCACGTGCAGGAAAGCGGCCTCAGCTGAGCAGTCACCAAACCCGCAGGCCAGTTTCAGAGGGCTGTGTACCAGGCCACCATCCCAAAACACCTGTGTCTGCACCAGGGCAGAACATGCCAAGTGAACGGGCTCCTGGGTGGCGGAGGTGCGTACACCCTACTCTCACCTCCCAGAGACCCGCCCCTTGACCTGCTCCCCAGTGAGCAAGGTCTCCGGGTACATCCCTCAGTAAGATCTTCCACTTAGCGGGAGACAATGGTGGGAGCATTTCAGGTAGGCACTATGATGACAGCAATACTGGGGTGTCAAGCTCAGACTGCAGGGGCAGGAAAAGCCCTTGGCCGAGAGGCATCTAAGAGAGCATCTGAGGGTGAACAGAAGCTGGCCAGGCAATGGACAGAAGCACGTGTAGGAGAAGAACATCTGCAAAGACTCAGAGGGTAGGCAAGCACAAGGAACTGCAAAGAATGAATTTTGAGTAGAAGGGGAGTAGTTTGTTGTTATTAAGTCAGCCGGTTGGGAAGGGAATGCTGGCTGGGGAGTCTATTTCCAGACGCTCAAACGGCTCTAACTTCCGACAAGTTCCCTGGACTCCCCAACATGCAGAAAAGGCAGTCGGCTCTGACCATTCCTTCTTCCTGACTTCAGAAAACCCACTTACCTGGGAGAGGTTGTAGCTTGGTGCTGGGGGCACAGGCCGGCTTGGTGGCGGCTTCCTGGAAGATTCCTTTCTCTCTACTTGAGATGTCACCCCTGGAGAGCTGCTGTCAGTCCTGTTTAGAAGGGCTAACAGTGGTGCAGGTAAAGCCCCGCCTTGCAGGAAGTCTGGAGGGGGCCGGGGTGGAGGCTGGGAGGGCTTCCTTGGGGGTTCAGGGGTGCAGCAGGTCACCTGTGTGTGCAAAACAAGGAACTCCTGTGACAAGGAAGTAGTGATGTGTTTAAAACTCAGAGGGACCCACGGAATCTCAAAAAGCTCCCTAGGTAGAACTGACATGTGGACTTGTTAAGTGCCCTGGGATCTTGGAGGTCAGGTGCCACCTTTAAGGTAATCAGGGCACAGCAGAATCAACAAGCGTATCTCTTAAGCCAATAAATAGTTTTTATTACCACCCCCATGGCTCCTAGGAAACTCCAGGTGAGGCCCGAGGGATCAAGAAGTAACAGAGCTCATAGCAAAGCCCTTACCTTTCGCTTGCCCTGCGGTGTCTGCAGCTTGAAAGTCGGGTTGGCATGACCAGTTCCGCCACTTGGAGACACCCTGAAGGGACAGCTGGGGACACAGGAAAGGGGAGGTGGGGCAGGGTCAGCAAGGGACAGTGACAGAGGCTTTCTGATTGCTTTTCCCAGTCTTACTCTGGAGGATGAGGGACCGGCCCTGTCCCACTCCATCTTACTCAGTAAGGACACTGCGTGTGGCCAATGGAGAACTCACAAGGAAAGAGAGCCTAGCACACTGCAGAGCTTTCTCGGCACCTTCTCTTTGCCTGTTGAAGAACCCCAGTCCCTCAGCAGACAAAGGATATCATCCGCCATCAACCAACCCCCTCCGGCCTGAATCCAGAGACATGGGATTGAAATCCTTTCCAGAACAAGTGTCACTTAATAGAAGGCTCAGAAAATACACACCTCCAATAACCAAAGAAATGAATCACTTAAGAAAAAAAATTGATTTTCTTATGGGACTGATTATGTAGTCATCTCTGTCTTTGACTTGGGCTGGCTGTCCCTTCTCTATTGCCTACCAACCTGCTCTTTAAATAGGGGGATGCCAGGTGTGGGGGGTACACCTATGATTCCAGAACATGGAGCAGAGGCAAGAGGTTCACCATGAGTTGCAGGCTGGCCAGTGTCACATGGTGAGTTCAGCCTGAATTACATAGTAAGACCCTGCTTCAAAAACCTAAATTAATTAATTAACCAATTTAAAAAATGAAGGGCAAGCTGATTAGATAAAGAATGGCCAATTTTATATTTCAACTTCAATTAGCTGGAAGATTCTGTCAAGAATTTGAAAGTGATGAACACACTCAATACAGACACTACAGTGTTTGTAGTGTCTCACTACAGTGAGATCATTTAGTAATGCCTGTCACTGAAGATTACTTACAGTGAGATCATCTAATAATGTCTGCCATGGTCACAGCACACAGAAGGGGAGGGAAAGCAGCATGTATCTCACAGCATGTAGACCCACCGCCACAGACTCACTAGGTACTGCTCACAGGCAGCTTTATGATACATGAGGGGATCAAGATCTTTGAGCCATTCACAGCACGCCTTCATACCTGAACTGCTGCATCAGCTTGGATGGGAGAACAGAGGGCTTGAACTGGTTGAGCTTTCTGTTCTGCCTGCAGCAGTAGATCAGCATAAGGGTAACCAGCAGGAAGAAGGCACTGCCCACGCCAGCGATCACCGGACCAATACCTTCCAGAAGAACCAAGGGAGAGTTTTAGAGGCAGTTCAGGCTACAGCAAAACGAGGCACTCCTAATTCTTCTTCAGACATTTGATTCCCACTGAATTTGTTTTACTTATTTCATCTTAAAAGTATAAAAACCACAAATTATACTCTACCAGGGCACCTCTAAGGTGCTGTGTGCAGAGGTTATAACATAAAGGCCCTATAGCCACTTCTATTTAATTGAAAAGATCTCTTTTGAGGCAGGCAATTCAGGCTCTACTATCATTTGGCGGGAGTTTTCAACCCGAGCCACGCTTTTCCTGGACACAAAGCAATGAACCTAGAACACCGAGAGACTGATTAAGACTAGAACCCTGGCCCTTGATCCACAATGTCACGTTGGGTTTCATCAAAACTGCCTCAACATTCTCATGAAGTATAGACTTAAATGTACAAATAGATTTGCTCTAAGGAGACATACTTTTATCGGTTCACATTAGGATTTGTTCCTTGACAGATTGTTTTTTTTCAAAGTACTTTTATGCTACTATTAAAAGTTTGGAAAGTTTGGAAACCACAGGCTAGAGTTCTTGAGATTTCCACTAAAAATTCAAAACTGTTTTGTGCCTGTTTCCTCATTGCAGCCTTTGTGCAGAATTATTTTCAAGTGTCCAGGAAAGGACCCTGACTAATCACCGCCCCACCCCTCAAAACAGTTGTGAATGCTTAGTACCCTACATTTTCCTTGATCTCTCATGCTAACAAATGAAACCTGTCCCCATAGTGTCTGCTCCCTCACAAAGGCAGGCAGCGGCTGCGGCAGCCAGGCACTCACTGTTGCTGGGCAGGGGTCCACTGTCTATGCTGCCCCCGTGGCCGGGGGTGCTGCAGTAGGGTGGGGCCCAGCCTGGGTGGCAGTGGCAGTTGTGGTTGTTGTTGCAGACCTGCATCGAGGGTAGGTAGAGGGGTCAGCACCCCAGAGAGCTCCCAGCTCCCTCAGGTTCTGCCCCGCACAGGACCCTGGGTCCCTGGGAACACACACCCCGTGACCGTTACACTTCTGCTCACAATCTGCAGTTTCAAAGAAGGAGGCGTTCCTGCACTGTCCCTCGAAGCATACCTGCAGGGAGTGGGAGCACGGCCATCAGTGCCACATTTGGGACAGCAGGAAAGAGACAAGAGGTAGGGTTATGCACTCAGACACACGGGGACCCAGAAAGGCAGCCCACTGTGGATTATTTGGTGTAGTGGGAAGTCAAAGAGCCTAAATAGGTTGCTATTTTCTGTGTGATGAGAAAGACAGCACAACTATTATATTGTTAAAATATTACATTTAATACCTGTGAAATGTTGATTATGTGCACTATTCATCTACCAGCATGTGCTATTTTAACCTTATGCTTAAAAACAAGGATTCCGAAGCAGCCTACTCTGTGCTAGAAAATACACCAAGTGCTTCATATTTTTATACTTTCACTATCATGATTAACAGTGAGATACTTGACAGTATTTCCCCCAGCTTCCCTAACTTAAACCACTCTAATGCCCACGGTAATGAATGATAAGCATGCAAATGATAATAGCCCATCTAAATGCCTTACAAACATGATCTGAACTAAGCTTTAGTCTATGGGTGATGGTCTAGTGCTATCACTATACAAACTTTCAAAAAAGAAGTTGGGGAGGCTGGGATTTGAACCCGGGCATTGCTTCTCCGGTTCCCCTTTCTAGAGCTCAGTTCCTGCAAGAGGCTGGGGGAAGGGACTCACATGGTTGTAGCCACACTTGGTCCCAGTCATCACCAGTCCTGGGTCCAGCATGTCACCCTCTTCAGGACCTCGGTAGACATGGGTACCCCGACATTGGATTTTCTTCCCATTCATGATGATGGTGGTTTCAATAGCCACTGCGTTGGACTCCCGCGGCAGCTCCCGAGAGCTCTGACACTGGATCTTCCCACACTTGGCATCCCTGGGCCCGAGAGAGAGACAAAGAGATACAATCAGAGGCTGGGGTACCACACAGCTTTGGAGGTTCTTGGCTAAGACAGCAGGCGTGGGTGAGGTTAGGAAGAAGACCAGGGTAATATGCATGCTGTAGGGGTCCACAGGAGAGACCTCACGTGGTTTAGATCAAGGGAATGGGATAGACTTCATGTTCCTCAGCACATATAGACAAGGAACTGGTTTTGCAAAATCCTAATTTTAAAGACACTTGTGTGGCTAGAGCCATCTGTCCCCTTACGCTCCCTCTACCACCATCCATCCAAGTATTCCAGTCAGATTCCTGGGGTAATTTGACTCATTCCCCCTTGAGCAGTTTTTCAAACCCTGTGTGTGTCTTCTCTATAGCCACTGCAGTCCATACCATCATACTCTCTGACCCAAGCTTCAAGAAACAGATTTTCCTGCCTTCGGTGTCACCCTGCAAGACTGAGTCTGTCTTCTGCTGGGTCTTCAAGCCAAAGTTCAGACTCCCATAACCAGTCCTTTAAATTTTGTCATAATTCAGCCCCTGCGTACCTATCCTAGCTCATTTCTCATAGCCCCCTCCCCTGTGTACTCCAAAATTACACCTTAACTATATCAAGCTGCTATCAGTTCTTTCAAATGCCGGTTTCTCTGCACACCACCTCTCTGCCTAGACCACTCTGATCATGCACCACCACCACTCCTCATCCTGGGCACACACTTGATTGCTCCATGACTCCCACGACTCATAACTTCTTTGCCTAACCCCAGGCTACTAAGACAGGTTGAGTGGTTCTCTCTGTATTTTCATTATCACATTGTATGTTTTAACATCTTTTGGATGGACACAAGGATGGATGGGTGGGTGGGTAGATGAATAGATGGGTAAGTAGATTGGTGGACAGATGGCTAGATCGTTAGAATGAATGAATGAATGAATGATCTACTCAGATAAAGGCATAATCAGTATTCCACAAATGACCCAAGAGAACCTGTCCAACTATAAGACAGTCCCCAAAGGAAGAATGGCCAGCTTCCTAGGAAGCATTGCCACCTGCATCTTTCCTCTGACTTCCTTCGGCCTGAAGGCTGCACCGTCAAACAATAGGCTAAGGAAAAACACAGAATTCAACTGATTTCTGCAAAGGCCGGCTGAGGGGCCATTGTGCTGCTGAGCTGGGTGGCAGTGAGCAGGACAGAGCAGGAGTTATTCACTCCTCATTCCCTGGGGTCTGCTCGGTGGTCTTTACCTCGTGCTGCATTTCTTGTTCCGACCGTGCATGTCTTTCCCACAGTTTCCAAATTCATCTCCTGCCTCATTCACCCTCTCAAAGCAGAGGTCAGGGGCAGGCCGGGCTCCTGGCGCACAAGAAACAACACGAGTCAGTACCCCGCCTGTCCGAGGTCCCCAAAGACAAAGCCAGCCTTTGGCAGGACGGTGAGGCGAAGAATGTTTCTCCTGTACTCCTGCCAGGTATGCCACCCCCATGTTCTCACCAAGATCATTCAGAGAATGTGTTTTACATTTGTTGTTATACTTTATCAAGGATTTATATCTCTGGGAGTCTTGTAAGCTACGCCTACTGTCTAATTAAACAGTGCTGCCGCATTTCAGGATTTTAAAAATAGGCAGTGCAAGCACAAAGCTGTGAGGATATAAACAATGTCTTTGGAACTCAAAGCTATCCTGTTCCTCTTGCCCCACATTCGGAAAAAGCAACAACTAGCAGTGAGTGTTCTAGAAATGACTGTATTTCTGTATGCTGTATCCCCTACATATGACCTGGGTGTGTCATCTAGATATAACCCCAAAGTATATTCTATTCACTGTCCTGTACCCTACATTTTTACTTGGGCTGTTGTGTGAGATACTTTTATTCCACATACAGAGTCACTATCTTTTATTTAGCTACAAGGCACTGAATTGTACAAATTTTCCAGAATTAAATTAATTGGTCCCTATTAAAAGGCATGGAGGTTGTTATTGTTCTAACTAACAGCAGTGCAATTAACATCTCTGAAGAGCTATCTTCGCATACACACGCAAGTACAACTGTAGCTATGTTTTTCAGCAGTGGAATAACTCATGCATTCAAATTGTTTCTATCTCCAAATTGCTTTCCAGGGTGAGTGTACCTATCTGATCTCTCACACTGCACAACATCATATTATGGTGGTTGTTGTTTTTACAATACTCTTAAGACAGTAACTTTCAATCTTGTAATCTAACATGAAAAATCCCACCTTGTGGTTAGTCATCATTTGCTGCCTCTTAATATAACAGAAGTTAAAACCTTTTCAGAGCTTACAGGCCATTTGCATTCGCTTTTGTTTCCATCATTTTCTCCTTTATATCTGGATTACTGTTATCAAAAAGCTGACAAGAGGACTAAAAGCACCAACGCACTGGAAAGATCACTGCCCACTGGCTCTTCCTGAATCTCTACCCTGAGCCAGTGGAGGAAAGAAGTGGGTTTTTGCTGTTGTTTGTTTGTTTTGCAGTACTGGGGTGTGAATGGAAGAGTCTCACTTTGATTCTGTTTTTTGGGTGCTACTCGGGGTTCAACCCGAGGCCTGGCACATGTCAGGCGATAGCTCTCCTGCTAAGGTACTGACGCAGCATCTGGAAACATTTTCAAACCAAGCTGCTGAGCCACTCTGAGCGGCTGCCAGGCGGTGCTGCTCTTGGTGGAGCCGTGGATGAGGGCTGCACGGCCCCGCAGAGCCTTACCAGGCCCCCACAGCTGCTGGCACTGGTCCCGGTAGGTGAGGCACATGCCATTGTAGCAGTAGGCCTGGCCGCCCTCGCAGAGAGTACCGTCCATCTGGTAGAAGTTGGTGGGGCAGAGGGGAGACTTGCCCGTGCAGAACTCGGGAAGGTCACACTGCTGGGCCTGATCACGGCACAGGGTGCCAGGAGCCACCAGCTAGGGAGAGGAACGAGAGGGGAAAACACAGTCCATGACTTATCTGTCCTGGATCTCACACGAATTATTGTGCAGAACGGAACTTTCACCACTGTTACTTCATAGCGCTTTTTACGCAACCTCTGTAGCTCAAGTTATCATCACCCTTTTAATAAAGGGACTGAGGATTTTCAGGGTATTTTCACAAACACTATCACTTCCTCTTCATAGCAGTCTTAAGAAGAGGAAGGTAAGGAACAATGTTTGTGCAACAGTTTAGAGGTTACTGTGTGCTTCAGGAACAAGCGGTAGCTTTACAGAGTTCCCATGTAAGTGCCGGTATCAATATTATTTCACTCCATCTTTATGATAGTCTAATGTAATAATATACTATCCCCATTTTATGGATGGTTAAACTTGAGGCTTACAGAGTTACAAAGTATTCAGAGTTACAAAGTCAGCGGTAAAAGGGACAGGGCCACAGATATATGCACACATTCAACTAGCTTTCACATACCATCTTTGAGATTACAAAGCACTTAGCAATGATACATCCCCATCACTGAGCCATGCACTGGGCTGAATATGTTACACTCACTTCTCTTCTATGCCCCTCATAATATCTGTAAACAGACACCGCTATGTGCCAATGTTGCAGATCAAATAACCTGGTCAATAGCGTACACTGGGCAAGGGGTAAAAGATGAGGCTTGACTCTTATAGCAACCCTTGATGTCAGGGTTACTAAACTCTCTCCAGTTTACAGCAAAAGGACCTAGGCTCTGATGGCTAGGAAACTGCCAAAATCATATAGGCAGGCAGGAAGTTGGGGTCTCAGGCACCAGAGATCTTCTGTGTGGCTCCAAATGAAATCCTCGGACTGGGTGAAATGGCCACACTCGGTACTTATTCTTAGGCTGGGGCCCAGCATCACCTCCCCCGGGGGATACTGGGTCAGGCCAGAAGCCCTTCAGGCTCCCCCAGGGTCAGGAAAAGACTGAGAATGAAGCCTTCCCTTGCTCCTGAGGGGCCACACCCCCTCACAGGGCCCCAACAAGAGAGAAGGCAGACAGGTCCTTGGCTGGCTGCTCTCAGGCCCGGCTGCTCGCTGAAAGTGTGGACAGGAGGAGCATGGAGGAGAGGACGCGGTGGCAGGCGCACCTCACCGTCCAGGAGAGGTGCAGCACAGAACACCCACTCTGCAGCCGGTCTGCTCGGTTCCCATCCTGGCTCCTCAACCAGCAGCGGGACCATGGACAGCCACTGATGCCATGATTTGGGACCCTATCTCTCACATGTGGTTATTAAGAGCAATGACTTCCACAAACTTGAACAGTATCTGGCATGGAGTCCATGACAAATGGTGGGGAGAAGCACAGGTTCTTAACTCCAGCCCAAAACTCTGAGGGCAGATGGTTTTCAGATTCTAGATATTAATACGATTCATATTTTCAGTTTACACATACACAGGTGATTATAAATGTATGTACATAATGTGTGTAGTGACACACTCACATTACATTTGTATGCTCTGTAATCTTATAGCAAGGCCTGATAGAACCATTATGATCAAACAGATGATCATTTCTCTAATGAAGTAAAAATATTCACTTTAGGTGTCATTTTTTTAAAAAGATTATAATTAGCATCATACCAATTCAGGTCAAGTTTTGTCATTCAATGTGACTTAAAAATTTTATTTTTTCAGATTTGAGAACTTCTTGAATTTCAGGATGTGGGTAAGAGACTGTGGTGCTACATTAACACTAATAGCCACGAGCCGTTTCTCCTCAGCATCAGTAGTAGGGATACAGACCGAGGCAGGAAGAACTGCATTCAGGCCCTTCCTGGCTGTTTCATTCCATAAGCAATGAGCTCCAGCTTTCTCATCTTCAAATGAGGAGAATCACATATATCTGACAGGTTTTTACGAGGGCTGAATGACATGACCTATATAAAATTCTCAGCACAGTGCCTGGCATCTACTAAGACATCCATTAATGTCCATCACACTTATGGTACGTATTATTATGTGCTCACCTAATATCAAACCTACTCTCTCTATGCTTGTTTTTAAATTTTTTTTCACCATTCCCAGGAGGCACCATCCTCTGGGATGATCTTAACTCTGTGAACCTCAGGGAGAAAAATAGTAAAATTAGTGAAAGGGATCATTCCAGTTCCAAGAGTCTGAAACTTTTATTTTTCTTTTCTCCATCCCCCACCCCCACCGCAGTGGTAGGGATGAAGACCAGAGCCTGAAGAGCTCAAGAGACAAGCTCTCTCTACCCCTGAGCCATACTGCAGCCCTGCACCAGAGCTGTGATGTCACCACTGCCCCAGGATGGAGGTTTGAGCCAGTTGTCACCAGAGCTGCCGAGTCATGGCTGCAGGCAGAGGAGGGGCCACTCACCTTGCACTGGTGGCAGCAGGCACCATGGGCACACTCTGCCCCTTCCTTCAGGGTGCAGTTGGAGGCGTTGCAGCAGGGGTTGTTGCATTCCTGAGGACAGTGGGTGAATGTGAGTCTTTGGGGCAGCAGAGCAGGAGCCAGACCAGGTGGGGGACAGTCTTCAGTATCACCCCCAGGCCCAGCCTGCCCTATCCACCCGGGGTCTCCTGCTTCTAGGACTCCTTGCCCAGACATCTCTTGGCAGCTTTATTAGCAAGGTGGTGTGAATTTATCACAGAAAATATACACAAACACAATCCCCACTGACACCACAACTTAAAGACATTTGCGTTTCAAGTGTGAATTTTCCCATGCATCGATGCTGATACTCATTTTGCAAAGTATAGTATTCACACTAATTCTAATACAACTCCCTCCTCTTGGAAGGTCCTAGGCTGATCCCTCTAAGATCACAATGGCGAGAGTGACAGCATCTTTAATAGTTCTTGTTTTACTCCAAAAACTACATGTCAGTGCCAAAAGGATAATTTTATCCACGTATATAGATTCTCCTCTCGCTGCCACCACTTTCTGTTACTTGCATATCCTTCCCCAATTTTTGTGCATGTGTTAGCACGCATTTTCATACTTCAAAAAATAGAGATGAAACAACCTAGTTCTGCTTTTTTGCAGAACAACCTGCTTCTGTTAAAGATGACCGTCACACTATGTGCTCTTCACACTCACTTTGGAAGATGAGAAGGAAGGAAAGTGCTCTTACACAAAGACTCCTTCCTCCAAGCAGCCCTTCAGCACTTCCTCCATTCCCTCTCAATCACATCTTCTCCCGGATAAACAGCATGAGCTTGTTATTTTAAGCATCCGCAAAAGGCTCGTGCTCAAGTTCACGAATCTGGCTGTGTGGCTTCCAAAATAAGTCCAGTGCAGCTGCAGGGCCAAAGAGGCCATCTAACCTCTACTAGAGAGCAGGAAGCCTCAGGATTGTGGTTTCTGGTAGACCAGATGCTCACCAGAACCCCACCCTGAACTCAGACACCAAGAATGCCAAATACAAGCTGCAAAGGCCACAGAAGTAGTCCATCTGGAAGGCCTACTGACCACATCGTATAAATGGTGGGGGTTTGACAGTCATGCAGGAAATGCCTGAGACTAAGACAGTTTTTAGGTATTGTATTGTCTTTTGATCTTGGGCTGGAATCAGCACACATTCTTCCCTCCTGCTGGCACCACGGTGACACTTACCTCTTCCTCCCCACAGTCACACTCTTCTCCATCCTCCAGGAAGCCGTTCCCACACCAGCGGCCTCCATAAAGCGTCCTGGTGTCGGGCATGTTGGAGAGACACATTCCACCTCCTGACTGCAGGTACCTGTCGAGCTCCTTCTTGTTGCATCCATTGAACACTCTGGGAAAGGGGTCACTGGCAGGGAATAATGGGAGGAAACAGTTGGGGGTCCACATATCCATCAGGCAGAACGACTGCCAGTCATGGTATGAGGCTGATTCCATCTGGGCCCCCGGAGTACCACCTACGCCCGGTCTATTCCCTTAGAATACGCATCAGTTACATAACTTAGAATGCTTTCACTCCCATCATGAAACACTAACCATCTCATGGATTTTATTTTCTTTACTCTCATGGTAAAGGTATTTGAGAAGAACAGCAACTTCTGTCACTTGAGGGAATTGCAATAAAAAAAAAGATTATGAATGTGTTACAATAGGTCTCAAGGATAAGAGGCAACCCAAACTTCTTGTAAAGCCAGCAGCAGATGGATACTCTTTCTTTACAGAACACCTGACCAACAGAAACCAAGATCATGGCTGTTATTTCTGCACAGACCAATGATTTGCTCTTTGTTCTGGAACGCAGAGCACACTTCAAAGCGAACCAGCCAACTCACAAATGCGTGCTGTTTACCACAAGAGTGTGATTTCCCTCACTGCTGGGAAAAAGAACCAAAACTACAGCAGTTCCCTCTTCTCTGTAGTTTTGCTTTCCACGGTTTTAGGTACTTGTATTAAATGGAAAAATCCCAGAAATAATTTGTAAGTTTTAAGTAACTTTTATTATAGTACATTGTTGTAATTGTCTTTTTTTTTTTGGACTGGGGATTGAACTCACAGCCTCACACTTGCCAGGCAGGTACTAATGCCACTGAGCTAAATCCCTGGCCCAACTGTTTTACTTTATTAGCTATTGTGTTTACTTGCTTTTAAATAAAACTTCCTCATAAATAAGTACATACACATAGTATATACAGCACTCGGTCTCTCTGTAGTTTCAGGCCTCTGGAATGTCTTCAGACATATTCCCCATAGAGAAGGAGAAACAAGTGTGCACGAGCTGGGTCTACCAATGGGGAGCTACCCTGCTCCCAATGCTGTAAACCAATTAAAGGCTAAGCACACGAGATGTGAACCACTTGGGAAGAAATTAGACAAGAAATTTATATAAATCTCAATCATTTGTCTACAGATACTAGAAAGACTGGCACAGAAAGGCGTGGACCTAACTGTGAGCTCTCAGGGACTTTAAGCATGACCTTTGGAACTGTATTCTACATAGCAATACCATATTTCCTGCGTAACAGCCAAGAAGTAACAACCACACACTGGACACAGGAGTTTTGGAGAACTGAAACTCCCCTGGGAGACACTGAGACATGATTCTCTGCCTATCAGTCAACATACTGATCTAACATAATGGAACATGAAGCCCCTGCATAACGTCTTCCAAGGAGAAATTCAGGTCCTGGAGGAACCCAGTGATTTATGTTGACTCCTCTGAACTCAATAAGTCCTCTGAACTCTAGGATTTTTTTTCAAAGGCTCTGGTTGAGAAAATCCTTCCTGACTGCACGAGAAGGAGCTGCCTTGCCTTTGTTCCTCAAGGGCAGTCAGTGTGCGGTGTGTGGAGGGTCAGTTCCCTCCAACCCATTCTGGAGGCTACATCAGAGCTTTCAAGTGAGGTTGAACATAACAGCACTAAACAAACTCCTTTGGGAATTGTTGTTGTGCTCCAAATGGGTCCTTGTCAAAAGTTAAGGGAGGAAAAATGACTCGTGTGTCTGCTCAACTTTATGGCTGAAGACCCTAAAGAGAATTAAAACATAGTATATAAGTGTATTCGGTAAATAGTGTATCTGGGATTTCATCACTGGATCTCCTGCTTGAAATCTGCTCCTCCCACACATTTCCCGGCTCTACACTCTTCTAATTTCTTTCTTTCGTGCTTTTTCTTTTTTGAGACAGGGTCTTCTAGATAGTCTAGGTAAGCTTGAACTCACAATGTAGCCTGGGCTGGTCTCAAACTCACGGAAATCCTCCTGTCTCAACCTCCGAAGTGCTAGGATTACAAGCACACTTTACCATGCCTGGCCCGGTACTTTCTTCGTGGTAAAAACCACATTTACCCCAACACCCTCCTAGCGTATTAAGAGAAGTTCCTCAAGGCCAGCTGGGAGGAATGTTTGAATCACCCAGGCTATGCCGGCCTCCCCATCTTTCCCATCCTCACCCTTCCCGTTGACTCACCCAGTGGCAGCTGCCATGATGCACCCGCCATCAGCAGGACTGGCAGAGCAGCAGCCCGTGGCATCATGGGTCATGCCAAAGTTGTGGCCCATTTCATGGGCCAAGGTCGCAGCCACACCAATGGCGTTATCAGAGTGGTCCTGCTCAGGGAGAGAGCTCTGATCAAGGTCAAGGGGACAACACTGTCTATCCTTGTCACCCTCAATCTCTGTCTTTTTCTAAGTTGAGCCTTCAGCTCTTCACCTGTTCCTCTACCAAAGAGAACCCAGGCTCTCCACAGTCACTTTCTACAGCAAGTCTAAAGCCACTGTCATTATCAGGACATCTGATGGTTAAAAGCTAGTGTTTCCTAAGTTCTTACATGATGCAGACCATGTCTGTCCCACCGATGCACTGCTGGCCCAGTAAATGCTTTCCCCCATTCATCCCTGTCACATATGTTTCTCCTCACGATCTAGGGTGATTGCCAGAAGACACTGTTGCAGGTGTAACGCAGGACACACCTGCTTGCTGTCTCCTGAGAGCATCAAATGACAGGTGCATCCCAGACACAGCACCTGGCATCCTGTGTGACTCTTGTCAAAAGCAGAAGCTAAAGAAATAGAAAACAAACCAGCAACCAGAGCAGACACTGTGGTGAGTGTACATAGCCCCAGTTACTTGGGAGGCTGAGGGAGCAGATTGCTTGAGCCCAGGAGTTTGAGACTATCCTAGGCAACACAAAAAGCTGTTGTCTCAACAAAACCACAGAAGCAGCAAAAAGAGATTTACTGAATACACATGGATGCTTCTGGCATGATTTTGTTTAATTCTCATCCTTACCCTAAGACTATAAACTGTAAAGTTACCTTTATTTTACAACTGAAGACATCATCAACTAGGGTTTTAATGTTTATGTATTTTTGTCAATAAATAAACAAGGATGGGTGGACAAATAGATGGACAGCAGGCTTCCTGGTATCCACTCATAGCTTAGAAATGAACAGTCACAATACTCTCACCAAGTCAGAGAGAACTTCAAAAGAAGTGTAACTGCCTGTGACTGTGAGACACAGCCTCCTCTCATAGGGACATGTCTCACAACGCAAGACCTGGAATAAGAACACTTTGATTTCTCTCCTCTTCCTATTCCCCAGCCCCTGGGTTGGAATATATGAGAGATCTAGAGATGTATTCACGAAATCACCTCTCAGCTCTCCTGAGCTGCAAAATCAAAACTAAACTAGTCTCCTGCGGTGCTAGTGTGAGGCTGAGACTCACCATGCTGACCCCTCCGGAATGGTGCACGGAGCACATGGTCCTGAGGAAGGCCAGGCCGATGGTGGTGCCGTGGAAGGGCACGCCCCTGAGGAGACAAGAGGGGTAAACGGGTCAGGCTGGAGGGCTGTCCCTACGTGTGTAGGAGCGAGAGGCTGTCACATGCTCTCTGGTCTCACTGACATTTCCAGTCCACTCCCAGGGGGTGGGGTTCTGGTATTCTGGCCAACTGGCCAACTTTCAGGTCACCACACCTCTGACTTCCTCTCACCTACACCCCCTCACTGTTCCAGAGAAAAAAAGAGCGCGTGAAAGGTCACGTTTTCCCTTCAATATGCCCATGACCAAGTTCCTGCAAGGAAACAGTGGAGCTTGAAAGCTCCATGCCATGCCTGCTGCTCAGGAAAAGCTCAGAGGGAGGGCTAGGGAAGGGTAGCAAGTCCTGATGCCAAAGTGAATCATGCCAACTTCCGCCAGCTGCCCGGGTCTGAGCCTGGCCACCCTGGCTCTGCAGTGTGCGGCTTACGGGACAGGATAGGATATGAGGCAGCAGCTGTGGGGTGAACGCTTCATTCCCATGTCACCTCGTGGCCAAGGAGGCAGCTGTATCCCATCAGGAGCCTCACAAAGTGCGGCTGGGGACAAGGATGAGGTGTTTCTGCCTTTGTTTCACAGTCATTACAACCTGCCAATGGCCAGCTATGGTCTCCCCTGCAGTTTTAACACGGCCCGCTCCCAGCTGATCCATCCAGGTTAGAAGAAAAAGAATAAATGAAATGCCAGTGCTTTTGTGCATGCCACAAGCATGCCATCTACTTAAAGGATCTCTGAGGAAATTCATTAGGTGGTACATATCTCCACGATTGTTGGACTATCTTGTATATTTTAGGACCTTTAGAAACTTAGCACTGAATGTGACAGATTGTAGGCATTGAATAGGTGCTAGACTTAAGGCAGACTTATCTTTAGAGGAACAATCCACAAAGAAACATCCCAAATACACACCAAATGATACGAAGCCCTCTTTATTGTTTTTAAACTTAGTCATGGCTCTGAGGAAGTCCTACCAGAAAAACAGATTCAAGATTTTGCCTAAAGCAGGATGCTTCCCTATTCAGACCAAAAGCCTTGTCAACCAAGAGGGTCAGGGGTGTGACTCAATTGTACAGCTCTTGCCTGGAAGACATCAGGCCCTGAGTTCCTTCACCAGTACCACCACCAGTTTGGGGACCCAGAGACTCTTCCTGGCTGAATGTACAGTCAGGGCTTGGGTTTAGGGGACAGTTATTTCCCACAGTTCCCTTCAGGTCAGTGTTCCATGGGTTGCACACACCTGACTTGTGTGAGCTGCACTGACTTAAGAGGAACTGTCTCAGGCACCACATAAAGTATAGAATGCAGTTAATGTATATAACCAACAAAACTTCTGGTCTTTTACACATTTTTCTTGTAACACAGGCAACCCCAAAACCCGCTGGTCACAGACTGGACACACCCATACGGGTCAACCAGGGCAGAAATGATTATTGACTCTGAGATATATTTAGGGAACAGGTGAAAAAGGGTTCCTTATCTCTGTGCCTCTTGTTGTAAATGCCTTAAATACTTTTGGAAGCCAACAGGAAAAGCACCACTTACGTGATTAACTGAGCATTGTCGTGGCTCTTCTGGACAAGCAGCTTGCGCCTCCAACTAAGGAATGACAAAAGCGTGGAGTAGGGATTCTCTGACACTTCACACTTATCCCCGTGCGTCCACACTTCCAAGCCCACGAGTGCAATCCGAATATTCAGGGATCGGTAAAACTGAAAAGACCAAAAAGCTATGGTTTCAATCAACACTATTTGGGACTTCCTCAGTCACTGCCTAAGCTCAGGACATGGACCACAGACTCCAGAGCTCTCCTTGGTCCCTGGCTCCAAGGTGAGATATTCGTGACACTTTTTCAGAAGGGGAAAGTGAGTATTTTTGGACTATCTTGTATATTTTATCTATCAAGGGGAGCAGGTATTCGTGACACTTTTTCAGAAGGGGAAAGTGAGTATTTTTACAATAGTCTGGCGGCAGAACCAGGGCATCTTTGCTTAAAGAATGTTAGACTGAGATAGGACATAAAGTTGTTTCAAATGCATACAGGGCTATCGTGTGCAGAAAAGGTAAGGGTTGTTTCCACACGGTCCTCAAGCAGGGTCTCGGTTCACAGGTAAAATAGGAAGATAAATTGATAGAACAATAGGAAAAAAAAAAAGCTTCCATAAAAAGCTGGGCATGGCTGAGTATGGTACTGCACATTTATAACCCCAGCACTCAGGAGGCTGAAGCAAGAGTGTCACTGTGAGTTCAAGGTCAGCCTGAACTACAGAGGGAGACCTTGTCTCAAACCTCTCCCTCGCCAAGAGCTGCTCATGAGCAAGTTCAGATCTGAGACCTGGTATTTTTCCATTATAACTTTTGGCCCAGCTAGCAGAGCCCTTATCTTTTTATAGGTATTTTAAAAAGCTCTCTTGTATATGAATTTTTTAAAAACAACTTCATGGAGGTGTAATTTACAAACCATAAAATTACCTAGTTTCAGTGTTTTACCAGTCTTTTTAGTAGGTTTGCCAATGTATAAAGATATTGTAACATTCCAATTTGGGGATATTTTCATCATGCCAGTAAGATCCTTGATGTCCCTGGATGGTCATTCTCCATTCTGACCCCCAGTTCCAGCTAAGAATTACTCTACTTTCTGACTACAGATTTGCCTTTTCTGGATCCTTTTTTTCTTTTCTTTTTCTTTTTCTTCCTTTCTTCGTTCATTCCATTCAATCATTCTTTTAACAAACGGGATCATACAACGTAGCTTTGCACCTGGCTTCTCTCACTGAGAACTGTACATTCAGTTTTCGAGAATCTTCTATGCTGTAGCCTGTATCACTCTGATCAGTGAGTCATTCCTTGTACTGCTGAGCATAGACTATTCCATTGTACAGATACGCTGAATGGCATTATGGATTTTAAAAATTCAAAGATGTCTAGAAGTAAGTGAGTATAAATGATACACAAAATGGGAATAAACTTCTATCATTCAAAATGAATGAAACAGAAGATAGATAACTTTCTGCCCCAAGTTTCCTTCCCCATTGCTGGAGTGCTGAGGTTGTGTTAAAGATTCCAAAAAATAGCAAAGTCCATCAGCAATCCTTAGGGCTCTACCCAATCAGGAGATGCCGGAATTCTATCAGTCTCTTCAAGTCCAGACTACACCTAACTATATGACATTGAGTCTTTTATGTTACTAGCAGATAAGCAAGAGCTACTTGTCTTTAAAACTATGCTACTGGAAAGTGATTTAGGCAGTTCTTTGATGGGTCTGCTCTAGATACTACTGAGCCAGTGACTTTCTAAAAGAGACCTAGGTAGCCAGCGCTCACAGGAGCAGGAGAGACTATTTTAATCTGAAATCGGCAGGTTATGCCCCAGCTAAAACTAATAACCAGGACTTCAGCGTTTTTCAAGCACTTTCTACATACTGGGTACTGAGGAACCTGGGCAGGACGTGGAGAAGCCAGGATGAAGACCCAGAACCTAGCCTCAGAGGCCTCTCACAATGCTATTCTGCCCCAGCGGTTATTTAGAAAGCCAGACCACCCACTTGCCTGCCCCCGAGAATTGTGGCCTAACATGAACTGAAGAGTCTGTAAAATATCATTTATTTCTACAAAATTTGATTTTGTTTTGTTTTGTGCTGCACCAATCTCTAAAGAAAATAAAGCGTTCAGACTTCAATTTGAATTTGTTTCACTGGGGAGATTTTTAAGGAAGTAAAAACTTGAGCTTTTTGACAGTTAAGAGAAAATATCTTGGATTGGGTTCATGATTCAGCAAACGAGCAGACTTCATTCCAGTTTGAGTTCAACAATCCTTCAGCTCAAGTAGCTGGGTCAGCAGGTCCAGGGCGGTGGGTGGGCCTCTGCTGGCCCCATCTGGACTGACTAACCTCAGCTGCTGGGAGAGAAGCAAGAGGGCTCACAGTGGACCTGCCGGCCGCCTCGGGCTCTAACCAAGGCCTGGATTTGCCGCTGCCTCTCTTCTCCCTCCATGCATTTTCCTTTCCTTTCTTTTTTGAGATTGTGATTGCTTTCCACTTTTCATCAGTGCCTCTGGTTCTCTTAACCAAGTAAGCTGAAGGTGCACCAAGGAAGGTGCACCCAACATGCCTGGTCTTTAGAACAACAGATATCACACAGGGTGAAGCAGGATCTGTCTTCTCTACCCCCCAGGACAGCAAGCTTTCCTTGTGTGCCCAGATGTTAAGAGTGTCTGGGTTGTAGAATCATTTGAATGTTATTGTGGAGTGGGCTGGGAGCGAGAGAGAGGGTGCCACTGTGCCTGGGAGAGGTCTTCCTTCCGGGAAATCTGTGTTTGACTTTTTCCATCACTTGCCAGTGGCCTGTGTTTCTAGAGCAAGTAAGGACAGATAAAAAATTTGGCTCAGAGAGCCTCCATCGAAGGACTTCAAAGTACTACCAAATTGCCTTGTTAGTCCCTAAAAAACAAATATACTCTTTGCTATCCTCTAATGTTTGAAAAATGATTTCTCATTTAGATCTGGCATCCATAAATCCCTAGCAGACCCACAGTTGAACTTTCAAAGCTTTATGAGTGTCCTGAAATTGTACAAGGCATGTTATTGAAGCAAAGATGCTCCAAAGGCATCAAAATCTACTTTTTAAGAAACTATTCTAGTAGTCTGTCAAGCAGCTACTGCCATTTGAGGTCTCCCTACAGAGTCCAAGCTGGCCTCAGTCTCACTGTGTAGCCTATGATGGCCTCAAATACAAGGCAATCCTCTTGCCTCAGCCTCCTGAGTGCTGGAATTACAGGTGTGTTGCTACCACGCCCAGCCTCTTGATACATTCTTAAACCGAGTTCTTCCCTGCCTTAGAGGCCACGTAGAGGCCACTGAAGAGAGGAGAAGCGATCAGAGAACAGTGGTGCTCTATTAGTTTAGAGCAGTCTGCTTCTAGCTGATGTTTACATAGGCAGTAGAATGGGATTTCATTTTTTAAAAACTTCCTTAGAAAAATAAAATAACCAGAGTCACTGATTTAGGCTCATAGCTCTACTTTATAAATTAAAACAAAGCAAATGAAGAACACAAAAACTATGACCTAAAGAAGATGAGTTACTTACCCAAGGCCACAGGTTTCAGAGGTGGTCCTGACCACACTGAGCCTCTCCGGCACTGCTCAGTCCCTCTGAGAAACGGGACGGCCAGTCCAATAGAAGGCAGCTCAGGTACATGTGATCTCCTGTCCTGCAACCCTCTGAGGTCCTGGCACCTTTCCCACAAAGTACACACCTGGTCTCACCTTATCAACATAGTTGGCAATTTCCATGAGCTTGTGTTTGGTGGCATCCTGGTCTCGTCGATTCTTCTGAAACTGAGCGGAACAAACAGAAGAACTTGGTGAGACCTCAATGCTACTTCCAAGGCTCTTCCTATGCCCCAACACTTGTCTTTGAATTTCTTCTTATTTTCTTCTGTCTTTTGTGAGCATTCCTTTTTATGAAACTGTCTTCTCTAGTACAGTGACAGATCCTAGAGAGCAGGACTCAGGGCATCTCCATCTCGGTATTTCTGGACCAGCTCAGTCTGGGGCATAGAGGAGTCACATGTAGTGAATCAAACTATCTTCTAACCCTTGAAGTCCATCTTATTTTCTTGTCCTTAAAATTACCAGGCAAACTCCCATTTTGGCTTAGAAAATGGCTGATCTGAAGCTTGTCTTGGTCGTCATCCCAACGTGAAGCCACCACTAAAACAGCTCTCATGAAGCTCCCCTCCACTGTCAACCAACAGTGGGAAAATCATTGCAGGACAGCTGCTACAACTATCAGGCCTTGTGCTTAGTACCAAGTAAGGACACAGTATGATGAGAGAGAAGACCAGAATGCTGAGAGGACCAGAAATAAGTGTAATGATGGACTCTTTATGTGTAGTTAAGGAATATACACTTAAAACAGGCTTAGAAATCTTGCTGAAAAAATAAAAAATCTTGCAATGGGAGTTAAATGACACATCTTGGGTGCTGGCACCATTTCACAGGCATTAGCTAAAGGCTTCATCTAGCAGTCAGATTAACAGGCAGTGCCTTCTAGAGCAGGGAGAATTCTGAGACCATCTAAGTCTGAAATTGACTATCCCTAACTGATCCTAGGAAAGAGTGTTGCACTTGATTAGTAATGTCTGCCATAGATAGCAGGAGGATATAACAGGATGTACTATTCCTGCCTCAAAGGGATATACTGTATCTCTTTTATCTACAATAATGAAGGAAACCTTGGCAACATAAAGATGAGATTTTCTGTAACCAGAACTTAAATTTGCAAAGAATGGGTAGATGTTGTAAGCTATCATTGTCCCATACACTGGGTATATATTTGATTTTTTTTTTTTTTGTCTTTTTCAGTACCAGGGATCTGGTACTCACAACCACACACTTGCAAGGCAGGTGCTTATGCTGCTAAGCTAAAACCCCAGCCCCATATATTTGATTTATCATAGATATGTACCATGTATATTACTTTAATTCTAATTTTAGCCCAGTAAGGTATGATAGTTGAAGAAGTGTATCATGTCCAAAATAGTCTGAAGCAAGAGTCAGTAAACCTCTTCTGTAAAGGGCTACATAATAAATATTTCATGGTTTGCGAGCCATAGTATTTCTGTCATGATTACTCAGCTCTGCCTTAGAGGATCAGAAGTACCCATCAACAGTAATAAACCAATGGGCTTGGCTGGGTTCCAGTAAACTGTTTACAAAAATACACTGTGAAATGGATTTAGCCATGAGCTAAAATTTGAAAATCCCAGGTCTTACCAAAAAAAAAAAAAAAAAAAAAAAAAGAAAGAAAGAAAGAAAGAAAGAAAAAAAGAAAAGAATCCACCTTACATTTTCTAGTGTAACACCTGAAGTATAGCAGGGCACTCCACCATCCCATCCTTCCTTTCCTATATCCGGTTGGTATCATATGGTATCATGGGGTTGTGCTCACAGCTCTCCTGTCCCCTCCTCCAATATTATTCAACCCCTATCCTTTGTTCCCCTAGGTTCCTGTTTCACCCGGGACAGTAATATGCAGAGAACCACCTCGGCAATTCCCACCTGGACCCAGGGAGGGAGGAGCTGCTTGCTCATTTTTTCTCCCAGCCACTCTCCTAGGCAGCAGGACTGTGTTTTACTTTGCCAGTCGGAATCTCCACTCTCCGCTTTGGGTTCAGAGCCCAGAGCAGAAAGCTGTCTTAGCTCAGCGCCACACTGTAAATCACAAATAGGCAGACCTTCCCTTTTCTGTCTTCCGGTTCTCCTCCGGGTTAATTATCAGAAATACATTTCTGCCGACAGAAGATGAGAAGCTTCTGGTGGCGGGCATGAGGGAGGTGGGGACAGGGCTGATTCCTGAACCTGCAAATACAGCCTGGCCTGTGGCACCCCTCACCCCAACCTCTCACATTCATCACACAAAGCCTTTAGCTGAGAGGTGCCTGCCCTGAGAAACTGAGCATATTTTCTTAGCCACGGTGGCTGAGTCATAGCCCTGCAAGGAGCCCAGAGCCACTGACACTGAAGGCATCCTTCTCTGCAGGGTTGGCAACACAGTACTGGCGGCTCCCTGAGCAGACACTTCATCCCCTGCTCTCACCGTGACTCTGGATGTCCGGACAGATCCCAGTCTCCGGCCCCCCTGCTTCAGTGCCTGCTGCAGACACGTGGCTAGTGCATTGCGTCCCGCATCCAGCACAATGGCACAGTGTTGGCCTAAGATGTGTGAGACCCTAGACTGGGGGGAGTGCAAGGTGAAGGAAAAACACTCCGCCTCTACACCGGAGCAGCTCGGTTTCTGTACTCCTGATTACTGAGGTCCCTGGGAGCTTTTATCTGCTCAAAGGATTCTGTGGCAGAAAAGCCATGGCTAAAGACCTGATTCTTAGATGATCTAAGTGTCATGCTTAAATGGAAAACTGTCCTGGAGTTCGAGGAGCTCAGTTTTTCTTGGTGTTTCTCAGTAACCCTCCCAGTAGGGCAGTTTTGCAGGCAGGTGCTAGCACGTACAGCCTAGAGGGCAGCACTCTTCTCAACAGCTGGCACTGCCTCCAAGGCCCAAGGGCTCATGCCTGGGATCCTGGGCTACAAACAGCTGCCTTAGCACGAGCCTTTGGGGGAGCTGGTAACCCCATTAGGATGGGGAAGTAGACAAATGAGAGCTGTAATGAGCCTTGTGCTCAGGGAACCCAGGGAAGGTCACAAGGTGTGAACACACAAGTGCTCACAGCATCATGGCAGTCTGGTGTGCATAATCTGTGCTTCGTTGTGTGGCAGAGTCACTCGTCACTCGCAATCCAAAGTAAGAACTGGCAGTAATGTCTGCTAATTTAGGCAAATACAGGTTTCTGGAGACTGAACCCATTTTTCAGTCATCACCTTCAACCTTACTACCTCAGAGAAGCTTTCCCCAGGTGCCCAGATCATGCCAGACTCCCACTCTTTGACCTTTAACACCGCCTTGGCACCATCTTAGTGGCTGTCCTATTTTGGGATTCCTATAGTTTTTGTGCCATTTCTAAAAACTCTCTGCTATCAGCGATGGGTCTGGCTTTTTGGAAACTGTGTAGAAAATCAGGAAATTAGTAATGAGTAAGTAAAATGAATGAACGAGAAAGCTAGGTGAGTATCCATCAAGTCCTAGAGCCTATCTAGTTTAAGAAGTATGAGTTAAAGGCTGTCCTGCTATTCTTTAAGGTCAATGGTCCCCAAATACACTTAGGCATCGGAATTGTCCAGAGGTCTTCTTGCAGTTGAGGATTTAGTCTGTCTGGGATAGGACCTGTGAACATGCATTTTTCACAAGTTTCCAGCTGTTACAAAGGCCACAGGTGTTGGGACCCATTTTGTGGACCCTCGCTTCTCATTTGGCACCAATATAATTATAAAAGTGAACCCATACATGGGCAAAAAAATTATTAAAGGTAGTATTCAATGATGGAGAATATATTTACCATCTTTTTAAAACAGAAATTTAAGAATTTCTATAGAGAATATATGAACCCTCTTAAAAAAAAAGGCCATCATAACTGTAAAGGTCTTCAGATGCTGCCTGAGAAACGTCAGTCCAGATAACTGTCCTGGTTTTCTGCCTGATTAATGTATTGAGCTAGAAGAGGCTTCCCTTGGTGCTTCCCCCCGACCCTTGACTTCTTAAAATGACAAAGAGCCCCTGGCAGATTTCAGGTCAAAATTATACAGTGAACCAGAGAAAGATGCCTGTGTCAGCATTTCCCCAAAGCAGATGAAAGCTGAAATGGTGGCTATCAAGACAGCAGTTTTTCTGCTAAAACCATCACCTCCCCCTTACCTCTGCATAATCTGCTACGAGGTAAAGCTCCACATACTTCATGGAGTATAAATCTTCCCTTTTCATCTGAGGAAGAGACATAAACATATCAGAGCTGGAAAATGATTTGGGACTCATTTCCAACAACTACTGAGCAACAGAAACAGTTAGGAAGCAGTGGACCTTCTTCCATATTCTGGGTGTGGGTGCTGGAGGCCACTCTGCCTGCCCGTGCCTCATATCCGCCATTTGGTTACAGCTGGATGCTGTCAGGGCCATGGGCTCCAGCCCGTTATTCTAAAAAGAAATCACAAGCCGAGCCGACTAGGACAGGCAGACCAGAGGCCAGCACACACTGAGGGAACGAACACGCTGCTGAGCAAGTTCCCAAATAACCTTTAGACCACAATACTGCTATTTTCAATATAAACAAATAACATTTTGTGCACAGGAGGGAAGTGGTTATTTTGCCAAAGGGTGGCATTTTCTTTTCACCTTGTATAGTTTCTGAAATCCACATCCGAGAGTATTTTAAAGGAGTGTTTTCCCTCAAGTGGTTATTTTCTTGGAGGGCGTCTCATGCGCAATAGTGATTTTAGAATAAACAAAGAAGGCTCTTTGCTCCCTCTCAGCCATTTTTCTTCAATTTAGAAATAGCCCTGGGCTCAAAGTAAAGGTACTCAGAGGTGACAAGCCTAGGCTGACCACTACAGGGACAGCCTGGAAACTCACCCTGCGAGGTCGGTTCTTGGTCTGGTTTGTAAACGAAGGAGTCCAGCCCTTGGTGGTAGGTGCCGGGTGGTTGATCCCACAGCTCCCAGGGGGCAGCTTGAGATGTTCAGATCTGTAAATAAGGTGTTGGCTCGCATTGTCAGAGAGGGGCTCGATGATGTAGCTGAGGTTACTGCTCAGTGTAATCAGTCCTCTGTGGGTAGAAGAAAGACGATCTTTGGTCAGAGATTACAGCCCTGGAAAAGTCCCTCTCCTAAGCCCATATGCCAGATGACTCAATTGGTTTGATCATTGGCTAGTCCCATTATTATGGGACTATGCACTCCTTTGTGAAGGTCAGATGCAAGCTCAGACCCTCCTTCCCGAGAAATGCATGTAGTATGACACACAATAGCAAGGCTCTCACCACAAGATACCAGGTTAAGAATTCCTAAACAAAGAACCTCAAAAGGGTCTTTTAAAACTGTACCTAAAATTTATTAACACTAATAAAGGATGGTGGGACAAGGATTCCAAAAGTCTCCTGAACTAAGCATAACAAATGACAAATCACAGGGCAAAAACGTTACAGATTTAGGTGCAGGCTCAGGATTTAGCACAAACATTCAATTGTCACATGCTCTTTAATGAACACTTTAAATCAGTCTAAGCTTCAGTTTTCTCACCCCTAAAAATGGACATAATTTACTAACTTATCAGTGCTCTTATACTATTAAGTAAAAGACAGGTGGCTGTCATGATTTATCTTAATGGCCTCCCAAGTCTCATGAAATCATGGATGTGGCTGAATCTAGCATTTGTGATTGGTTCATTGTCTAGTGCTTGGATTGGTGGTGTGAGTGCTATACCCGCCCAGGGGTGGAGCCAGCATGCAGTGTAAAGTTGGGGGAGAAGGCATGTCTTTCTCTTTTGCTCTTTGCACTTGCTGTTTATGGTGGCCTTGCCATGCCACGCTGCTGCTTGGAGCCAACTGGGTATGGACTGAAACCTCCAACCTATAAGAAATAAACCTTTCCTTCCCTAATTTTGGGTGGCGAGTATTTTATCTCAACAAGAGAGAAAACTAAGACAGTGGCCTTGTGCTTGGAAGCTAAATCTAGATGTGTAATACTGATGAAATTTCTACAAGTCTCAACTGTTCTGCACCAGTAAGACAGCTGTATGGTAAAGGGACACGTACAAATAGGCATGTGTGACCTTTCCCCCCTTGCTTAGAGATACTAGCATTGTTCATTTTATTCTTTCATGCAGCTTTTACCTGTTTTATTTGTAATCTAAACACAATCCTTGTAGCTGCAAGGAACTTCTTCTAGGTATCTATAGGGGATTGGTATTAGGACACCCAAGAATATCAAAATCACAGATGCTCAAATCCCCTAAAAAAAAATGGGGCAGAACTTGCATATGGCCTATTCACATCCTCCTGAATATTGTAAGTCATCTCTAGATTACTTATAATACCAAACATATAATGTATTTATGCAACTAGTTGTCATACTGTACCATTTAAGGAGCAATGCCAAGAAGGAAAATGGTTATGTTCAATATAGTTGCAAATTGTATTGCAAATATGTTTGATTTGTGGTTGGGTGAGCCTGCAAATGGGAAATCTACAGATACAGAGGACCATCTCAGCTATGGTCCAAAGGAGAATCATTCTGCAAACGTCTTCTAGCTCCTGCGCTGGGCATCATGCTAGTTGCTGAAGATGGAGTGGTGAGTTAAGCAAACAAAACGCCTGCCCTGGGGAAGTAAGCACAGAGTCTAAACATGAGACTGTGTTACTGGAAATGTAGACCAGAGAGAAGAAAAAGCCTTCACCAGCTCTGACACAGAGAGGTGAAATGCAGCTGCTTAGACATATCAGTGAGGCCATGGAAGGCTAATCTAGATGCCACACTGACAACCTGCTGCTCTCACCGAGAGCCGCTTGGGCAGCTCAGACCAGATGGGGTCTACCTGCCAACTTAAACACAGTGAGATGAACGCTCAAGCCAAGGAATGGACTCGAGGCTCCGGGAGAAGGAAGCCAGGAGTGATGTCCTGGGCTCGGGCAGCGTTTCCCGTGCTCTTGCCTCACTTGTGCTCCCAGTCATCCAGAGAGCTCCAAACACAAAGTATTTCTAACTCTGAGCCTCCACCACTCACACCAGCAGGGCCTCTCACAGTTTGGGCCACTGCTCTGTGGGATGCCTACCCAGACTTGGCCCATTGAGAAAAGCTTATGATCCTCTCAGGAAAGATTGCAAGAGCCTGCAGTCTGCAATAACACTGCCCGGATTCCATTCCTGGCTGACCTCATCCTGTGCTAGGAGCCTGACCACTTCCCTTTGGCTTCACCCACGCTAAGCTAACGCAGTATTATCTGCCCAGCCCCTGGTGGGATGCCCAGGTGCTCCCTTGGCAGCTGGCAGTGGGAGGGGCAAAGGGCAAGGGTCACATCCACTCCCTATACTGCACAGGAAAGGGCATAGCAAGAGCTGCTGCGGACATCCTGTTCCCAAGCTATCTTCCATCGCAGCTGCCCAAGGCCTCTTTTACCACCCCGATTTTCTCTAATGGGCAAAACGCAGGGCTGAACCACAAGCCAATGGATAGCCCTGTGTGTACCAGGATGGGACTGCTGAAATTACATACAGTGAGTGGAAATTTCCACACTGGAACTGGTGAAAGTTCCACCATTAGAGCCACAGGTGTAGCTGACCCAGCATCACCTAAGCAAGCCTCTGGGTCAAAAAGACAAGAGACCAAGCTGTCATGTGAAGCCTGGCGAATCACTGTCTTGATAGTCAGACTGAGCCTTTGCTGTGGACCAGGCACTATGTTAACTGTTTTATCATTCACACTTGCTTTTGTGACGCTTATAAATATAATCTCCATGACATAAGGAAGCAAATTAAGGCTTAGCAAGGTGAAATAATTAACTGAAAGTCACAAGGGTAGCAAGAATTAAAAGCAGGGGTTGGGGCTGTTAGCTTCTGTTTCTGAGCCTGACCCTACACTGTTTCTACCACCATAGCCCTGTAGGACGCATCAGAAGTGTCTCCCTGGTGCCAGAGATGCTCCTCTGATGTGTGATGGCCATGACGGAGCTGGCCCATCCAGTATAGGACCCCAAGTTCCCGGCAGGTCGGAAGGCACAGGAGGCATCTGGCCTACTTTCTTCCCTCTGATCCCATGTATTGAGAACTAATGACATTCCAGGCACTACATTTACAAACACTCCTCTTAACATCATTCCCATTTACACTGCAAGGCAGGCACCCAAACAAATGTTGCTTTACAGGTTAGGAGGGTGAGAATAAGCAGCTCTCACAAGCAAGTAATCTAAGGCCAAAGATTTGAGGGCCACAGGCTCTGGACCCCATTTCCTTAACTTCCATGCTGTCTCCCTCAATGAGATCTCAACTAGCAAGGCAGAGAGTCTTAGAATCAGCACTCCCAGAGCTAGGGATCAGGACATTCTACAAAGTGCATTAAAAGCACTGGTGTCCTGGCCAATCTAGGGGACTCAGACACTGCAAGCCTGAGCATCTGCATCAACCCCACTGGTCACACCTTGCAAAGCTCAAGGACTTTGGCGGGGTATCCACAGTCATCAGCAGGCAACCGCAGGCCCCTAAGCAGCTGTTACAGCAGTGGGCAGATTCCTGTTTCAAAACCACACACATGAAAAGACACTGACGTTCCTTCCAGCAATTGGTCTGCGGCCACTCACCTCCTTCCTCTCACTGTGGCTGCCAGTATCTCAAACCATGTCCCAGTTGCAATCTTCCTGGACTACCTGGAGACAGAAGATGACTGGCCCAAGCCCCAAACTTTACAGTGAACGCCAGCTTTGTCAGTGGGGGAATTTCTGAGAACACAGTTGAAGACTCTTCCCCTGTTAACATCTCTAAGTTCTCCAGCTGCCCCCCCCCCGACATACCCATCAGTCATTTAGCTTCCTAAGAGCCTTGGTTGGTTTAGTTCACTAGATGTGCACACTGTCAGAGGCAGAGGTCAACTAGTAGACCTGGGCTGAGGGGCCCCAGAGGCTGGGTGGCCAGGATCTAATAAGCTTTCCTTCATTCTGCTCTCTGTCCTACTGCTCCTTGGTAAGAGCACAATACAAATGAAATTGTACAGAGGAACCAGGCCAGGCCAGGCCAGGCCACGTAGGCAGCAGGTGATCCATGCTGAATTCATGACAAAAGTACTCACTTGACTCCTCCAAAGAACTAGGCAAGATCTGCCTCCTTGGAATTTCACAGCTAAATCCATAAGCCAGACCCATCATTCCTATATCCAGTGCTCCTCTAAGTAATTCCTCTAAGTAACCCTGGTACCCTTCCCTCTCCCTCCAATCTGCATCCATGTGAGAGGGGTCACAGGGAACTTTAAAGGCAACATAAATGAGGGGAAAAGTTCTGCCTCTGCAGTCTCCTAGCTATGTGGTGAGTTATGCAAAAAATATTGCCATCTTGCAGGTAGCTTTGAAAATAGACTGAAGCAACAGGTAATACTAATAACCAAGATGGCGTTTTAAAATGGCTGGTAGTCATTGAACATGTACGGTACGTCAAGCAAGGTATACTGCTTTATTTGTTAGCTACTCAACATCTCACATTGAGCTCCTACAGTGTGTTACTTTTCTCTCATTGCTGGAACAAAATACCCAACATCAAAAGTTGAAGGAAGAAAGATTTATTTAGCTCACTGTTTGTAGAGGTTTCAGTCCATAACCAGCTGGCTTCAAGGCAACCATTCATGGCCGTTCATAGTGGCGAAGCAGAAAAAGCAACAAAAGCAAAGGTGGAGAGAACAAGCCTCTTTGTACCCTTATATTGCAAGCAAGCTACCGATCCCTAAGGTTGGCGTAGCACTCACACCGTCTCGGGGCCCTCCTCTTGCACAGGATGAAGATGTTTACAAAGTGAGACCCTGGTCCCCTGCTGAGTCATTTAGTTAAACTTCTAGACTTCTCAAACTGACACACCGTACCAACAATTACATCTACAGTGTGACAGGGACTGTTTTATGCGTTGGGGATATGATGTGACCGAAATGAATCCCCGAAGTCAAGGAACTGATGCTCATCATGACATGAAGCCACCAACACCATCAGCCTAATTTTACAGGTGAGAAAACTCAGGCTAGAGAATGATAGTAATTACCTGACTCTAGAAACTACATTTGTTACAACTTAATGGA